AAGACAGATCTGTTTGTTCTTTTGTGAGTCCATGAGATACTCAGTGCTCTTCTCCAACATCACAACCCAAAGGTATTAATTCGTCTTCTATCATCCTTACACACTGTCGAGTTCGCAGAGGTATAGCAGGTGACTGGAAAAAAACATAGCTTGAATCAGACACACCTCAGTCTTTTAAAATTATATCATTGCTCTTCAGGACTTTGGTGAGATCCCAGACTGGTAGATTTTCCCAGTGCAATGTGTCTCCTGATCTCCTGACTGCTGATACTAAGGGTGTTAGATTATTGATCCAAGTAAGAGGAAATAGTTGACAAGTTCAATCTTTCCTCCATCACGATGTTGCCTATTGTCCCAGTGGTGAGGATTTTTTTTCTTGATGTTGGCATGTAGTCCATATGGAAAGCTGTGTCTGATATCTGCAACAAATGTTTTGCATTGATGTTTTTCTTGATGCTTAGTAATCACCTTCAGGGATTTCTGGTGGCCCCAAGGGTTAAATATTACCCAGATTTCTCTTGTCTATTACTGACTTAAGTAACATTCATTTTATCCATTCATTTAACAGAGTTCTAGTAAGAAATGACAGTTCATCTGCTGTTCAAAAATTTATACTCATAAAGAAATCACTTCTTTTTTGTTCCCTGAGGTAACAGAAAAGATATTTATCCATTTGCAAAAACATCCTAAGGACATAAATGTGCATTCTTTTGTGCTGGGGTACCATTGAGAATATCAAGAAAGCATAGTCACAGACCTGAGTGGGTTGGAGAGAAGTCAACCAACATGAGCAGTATTAAATAATACTGTTAAAATAGTATGAAGTTAATTGGAAGAGGAAATGGTCTGTGAGCTTCAGGATTAGTTTGAAACACTGCTGACTGAGTAACAAAAGAGCAGACACAGCGCCCTGGACTCCATTCAGCCTCCTAGGGAGGGGAGGGACCCATCAAGTCAGAACCTACCCTTCACTGACCCTCCTGACTGGCTGCTACAAAACAACAAAGTTCCTTTAATGCAATTAATTCCAGGGTTCATCCAGCTACTGGCTTCGGAGATTCAATGGGCATTTGGAATTCGGACATGCATTGTCCCTCCACTTTAATCAAGATTAATTAAAATTCCGAAGAACTTTCCCTTGTGGGAAGTAAGTCTACATGTATTTCCACGGCCTAGGGCTCTTGGCTGCAAGTGAAAAATAAAACACCTAAGCTGAACTTAGGAAAAATGACATTATTAGAAAGTTATTAGAATATCACACTTAATAGGATAAAAAAAATCAAAGGAAGTCAGGGAGCCCTGATGACCCAGTGGGTAAGGAGTTGCACTGCCAACTGAAAGGCAGGCAGTTTGAATCTCTGCCAGATAATGACGGGCAATCTCCTCTCACGTGATTTAAAGCCTCTGAAAACCTGCTGGACGGTCACCTCTGAGTCTAATCGGATCAGATGGCATAGAGCAACAATATTTAAGTTAGCTAAAATTGAAATGAGTTTTCGTGCAAAAGAACCTTATGTGACGGGCAGATCTCTTAGGTACGTAGACCAGTTCCATGACTAAGAAATCCTTTTGGAAGCACTCACGTTGTGGTCAAGGACAGCCTCGCCCTCATGGGTAAGTTAAGGCAGCGTGCTAGGACCTGGAGCTCTTGTATCCACGGCTCATGTGCCGTACAATAACTGTCTTCATGTTCACTATCTTTTCAATTCCATATGGCCACCGTAATTCCTACATAAAAGCATGTTAATCAGCAGATATCCTAAGTCCTAATATGAAAAGGCAATATGCCACAAAATTTAAAAATAAAAACCCAATTACAAAATGGGCAAAAGACATGGAAAGAATTTTCACAGAGGAAGATATTGGAATGGCAAACATGAAGAAATGCTCCAAATCACTGGCAATAAGAGACGTAAATCAGAACCACAGTGAGGTACCATCTCACTCCAGTAACAGTGGCAAAGTTTAACAAGGCAGCAAGTAATAAATGTTGGAGAGGATGCAGCGAGAAAAGGAACTCTTATACATTCTTGGTGGGATTGTAAAATGGTGCAACCATTCTGGAAGGCAGTTTGGCACTTCCTCAAAAAAGCTGAACACAGAAATTCCATATGATCCAGCTATTCCACTACTTGGATTATACCCCGAGAATATAAGAACTGAGGCACAAACTGAGATTTGTACACCAGTGTTCATAGCAGCATTATTCACCATCTCAAGAACATGGAAACAGCCCAAATGTCCAACCACAAATGAACAGATTGAGATATCATGGTACATTCACACAATGGAATACTATGCAGCACATGGGAGCAATAACTTTGTAAATTATTACCTAACTTGGGAAAGACTGGAGAGCATTATGCTGAGTGAACTAACTCAGTCCCACAAGGATAAATATTGTATAAGACCGTTATTGTAGAATGAGTATAGGATCCAGGAGGGGTAGAGAGTTTGGAAGCAGAGGGATATGGACGTGCAAGGGGGAGGGGGATTAATCGTTGGGTTTTGCAATCTGATATGGGGTGGGGGAGGGGGAGGGAAACTGAAAGAATTTGTTTGAATTTGTAGTTGAGTGTTGTAAATAAACTAGTGGGGGGAAAACAAAGTAAAAACAAATTTTACTTAAATAGTCTTTATTGTTTCTCTGGAGTCAATATAAAAATAGACATTTCCACACATTTAAGGTATTTCATAAGCTGCATTAAGAAAGGCCCCTGTGCCAAACAGACCCTTGCCGGTTGAGAATGTGAGCTATCACCACAGCATAGCAAGCAGGCCTGTCTGAGCTGCATTTCCCCCTTTTGTAAACTACACGCAACATGAAGACAAAGTGTGCCTCAGAGAGCAAGGTAAAGGGAGCCTGGGCACCTGTGAGAGTGCGGCGACAGTGAGTCCTCCCGCCAAAGGACAAAAGGCAAAGGGGTCCTAAAAAGAATTTACAAGTGTTTATAAAAGCAGTTCTGCCTTCGAAAAAACTACGTTTAAAGATCCACTGAAGCAACACAAAAGCTCATAGATTCTCTTTCTGTAAATGCACCGTTTGCGAGAGTCGTCTAACTGTCCCCCTAGACCACGTCCAGGATGGGGTCATATTGTGGCACCAGCACAGTTCGTGTTTTCTGCCAGTGTTCTCACTGCTGTGCCCTAAAAAAAACGTTAACAAGATCTACAGTTACATTTCATCCTAACTAGAAAAGAGGAAAGCACTTTTGATCAAGCTGATTTTTGAGTTTTCCAAACAGTACTTGTTCACTCACCCAGCAGTGTGGAAATCTAAGTTTAGTGAGAGGACTGAAGGCCTTTGGGTTAGAGCTCACAAGCAGGATAACAACCTTCATATGCTTTTTATGATACTGTCAGATTAAACACTGATCTTAGAAATGCGGCTGAAACAATGCTATAGGCCTTACAGACACTGAGCTCACAATTCAAAACTACTTCTTAAAAAGTTTTCCTAGGGCGTTCTGGTGGCCTAGTGGCATGAAGCTGCACTGCAGTCCCAGAGGTGTGTGGTTCAAAACCATCAGATGCCCTACTGGAGAAGGAGGGACAATCTACTCTTGTACCAGTCAGATCTGATTTGATGGTAAACACACAAAAAAATAAAAAAAGTTTTCTTTTGGGCTACACTAAGATTCCAAGTCCTTTTACTACCAAAAGTTCCTTGAGAATACAGAATTGGAATGGGGACAGGGAGAGAATGTGAAGAGACTTTCACTTAGTGGCTATGAAAAGGCCATCAATTAGATCAGGGCCAAGTACCATGAAGCGGCCCTGGCGGCACAAGGGAGTGCGATGGCAGCTGGTAGAGGTCAACAACTGCATCAGCTGCTTGTCAGAAGAAAGACAAGCCGTCTCCTCCCATTCAGATTTACACCCTCAGAGACCCGATGGAGAGTAACCATAAGACAGAAGCAACAAGACGGTAGCAGGGGTGGGGTTTTGACGAAGTATAAACTCAGCCGTGAGCTCATTCTCATAAAGAAGACTCCAAGCCCTGAGGACCCAGTAAGACAGAACCCGACTGCCCCGCAGGGCTTCCGGGCTGCCCATCTTAAAGGACACCGGCCTCACCCTCCTCCTGCGGAGCGGCCAGCAGGTTCCAAGAGCAAACCTTCTACTCAGCAGCCCACGTCCTGGAGCCACTCAGCCAGCAGGCCTCTAACTAGGAAGCATGTATGCGATGACAGGACCATGCAAGAAAGCGGGCAAACACCTGCACGTGTTCTTTTCGATTGAGCTTTGCTGAGTCTGAAGTAACCAATCCTGGGCGTCTTCCAGCTGACTCGGTTTGTGAAGTGTCAACAGTCGACTGTGACTCCCAGCGAGCCTCCGGACAGCAGGTCCAGCCCTAACCCGCCCTGCCTCGCTCACAATCTCCCGGTGCTTGAGCCCACTGTGAATACACTGGCCGTTCCAGCACACATCGAACATCTTCCTCCCTCACTGACACTTGGTTTTTTCCAGGGGGTTCGGTTTTTTTAAGCCATGAAATCTCAGTGAGAAGTGATGTCCACTAACGGGGGAAAGGGAAATGGGGATGCTGTACGGTGCTCTCCAGACTCGTCTCTGCTTCCTGCACGTGGCACATGGCTCGGAGGGGGTTGGGGGGAGGGACATCGGGGAAGAAACACCTTTACTGCCCATAACCTGTAAATTCAGAATTTCAAATATCATTTCCTTTCTAGGAGTTCTCTCATAGTTACTGAGTCAGAATCAACTCACGGCTGATCCACAACTGGGTGTCCAAGGCTGTAGCTTACACAGAAGGAGACAGCCCGTCTTTCTCTCTCAGAGCCACCGGTGGATTTGAACTGCCGGGGAGGCACTGCCTTTAGGCGAGCAGCACAAACTCCCCGCCAGCGTCCTCGAGGGAGAAGGAGATGCTAAGACACCAGCCTCTTCTCACAGACTCCTTGGTGGGATTTTAGGGCACACCCGAGTTTACAAGGAGAAGGAGAAACAGGTCCAGCCGTTGAGAGACGACTTCAGCAACATCACAGCAGATGGCTTTTGGATTTGCCGAAGAGTCTGAGTTCCTTGGTCGTGAGCAGCTGGGCCAGGCCGTTGAGGAACACCAGGAATACGGTTATGCACATGACGATCACGTAGTGGCTGATGCTACAGAGAAGAGAAAACATGTTACAGGCAGAGAACACACACGAGCAAACGTACAGTCACTGATAGATTAACGAAGCACTGGATTTTAATAACATGCTTTTAAGTTTCAAAATAAGTTTTGTTAACTGAGAGGCCACAAACTTACCCTGTGTGTGGTCACAATTCTTCCTCCCATCTATTTCTTCCCCTCTAACATTAGGTCCCATCCAAATGTCCTTATTTAAGGACGTGACTTCCCCTTTATAACTAACCATATTCCTTGGATTTAAGAGCACGCATCAACATTTTTCAGGTCGGGTAGAAAGGTTTAAAAACTAGATTGTGATAAGAATTAAGCAACCATAAATTTAACAAAAATCCTTTAATTATACCTTTAAAATGGATTTTATAACACGTAAATTCTATTTCAATAACAATTTAAAGAAAAACATTCTACCTGATTCTTTTGTTCTGTTACATTTTGTTACTGATATTTTTAAAAAGCCAAATTATTAAATCTCTCTGGATCTCTTAGATTTTATTAAACCAGTAGGTGGCCCACCCTCACAATCCTAACAATTTCAAGAAGAATGAATATTCCCTGAGAGGCAGTGTCCCCTGTGCGTCACCCCTCTGCCTCGGAGCTTGAAAAGAATGTCAAGGTGCAGCCCAAGATTTACCAACTATCACACAAGCCTTGCAAGTTTCTAAGTACTAAACCATATCAGATGCTTTGGAATATTATCAGGAGGGACTGACTCTTGGAAAAAAAGAAACTGTGTGACATTTACTAAATAACTTTAGGAGAATATTTCAAAATCATTGAAAAGAACTTCATGTTTTCATTATATCTAATGAGATATTCTAAAAACTTGAGCTATGATTTGTATTTTAACAGTTATGAGTCCATGCAGGAAGCAGTAAAAGCCCACCTAAACACCTTCATCAAATCAAACAAAACTGCAGCTCAGTCAAACCGAGGCTGTCGGTTCTACTCACCTCAGTACAGACGCATCAGGACAGAAGTGAATCAGATGTCTACTTAGAGTTATGAAAATCACCTCAAATGCAAGGCCTTGTACCTCAGTCCCTAAGCCTGCGCCTGCGTCACTCCTGTATTCACCTCGTCCACCAGCACATGCTGCCCTGTACGATGATGTGATCTCCCTGAATGTAGGAGCCACAGTCCAGCAGGGTTGTGTGTCCCTGCCACGTTTTATGTCAGGATCTTCCACCAACTGAACTGTCTGCCCAGTATCCTGACAAAGTGGTTCTCTACATAGATGGGGGATCATCACCAAACAAGCCATGTTGGGTTGAAAGTCTTGAACGGGCAGGCCAGCCCACTCATCGTCAGTGTTCACAGTCCTGGGCATGTTACGGGCATGCTGTGTGCATGTGCAGGGCTCCATATGTTTTTCCTGGCTCCAGAGACAATGTTATTGTCATGTGCTCGAGTTGCCTGTGACACATAACAACCGTAGGTATAGCGGTTCTGAAGCCTGCCCTGTCCTGAGCCTGTCTCATTGCCTCTGACACACCAGCCCCCGCTGCCCCAGTCACTGTATGAATCTTCCTCGCCTGAGCTGTCCCTCCACCCTTCCAAGCATGATGTCCTTCTCCAAGGACAACAGCGATATAATAAAACCCATACACACTAAAAACTGAGCTCTACCAATGTCAGGCTATTGTGTGATCAGCCTTTCTAAATCTGCTGCTTCTTCTGTAAAACAGAGATGATGCCATTTTCTTCACATCTCTTCCAGAAGAATCAATGAAATAACACATAACTAACTCCTAATACACTGCATGCATGGATACTATTTTAATAGTCATTATTCAATTTTTCAATAATCCTTCACTGTTCTCAATTACTGCTAAATCTGCTTCCCTGGGTTTGGGCAGAACTTATACTGTGGTAAAATAATCCAGTGCCCTAAGCAAACTCTGGAAACTTCTCATTTCCAGAAATAAGTATGGTTCTGCTGAATTTCTTAAATCCACTTGCTTTAATATTTCTAAAGAAAAACATAGGAAGCCCAGAGTGAGACGGCAAGACCTCGGAACCTGTGATCCAAGTCATTCCTCTCCCGAATCCTGCTGTCCTTCCTTTTCTCCAGTCCTAGCAGCTACCTTCTTCCTCACATCATCCCAGAAAACATTCTCAGATGTGCCAGAGGAGTGGAGGAGACAAATCTCAGCCGCAGAGATGCATAGCGAGGCTCTTCGCCTGCTTCCCTCAGATCGCTGTGTTCCTTCTCGGGGCCCTGAAATACCAGGTTCCATTTTCCACTATACTCTTAGGAACGTCCCTGTGGAGATCTACCATACCTTGTCCCGATGTCAAGCCAGCTGCCATAGTCCTTGACCAGGAAGAAAAAATGCTGTGAAATAAAGCAAAGCATGGCTCCATTAATTAAAAGGAACTTAGATTCCATCTAAAAATAAAGTGTCCTAAGAATATGCGTTTTCGATGTCAATAAAATACAAGCTTTTCTGAAATGTTTACTCAATTAGAATGACTGCTCTAAAGTTAGAATAAAACTATCCGATTCAATGAACACAAACTTAGCATTTGTGAATAACCAGAAGTCAGGAAGCCAACTTGGATTTCAAGATCCTCAACAAGGACAGACACAGACTGCAACCACGGGCTCACGCACAGGAGATACTGTGAGGATGGCAAAGGAACAGGTTTCACCCTGTTGTACATAAGGTCATTTTCAATCAGAGTAAACTCAACACCAACCAACAACAACAACAAATGAAATCAAAGATGTTACTGGAAAAGGAGTCATGTCATCCATCTACCCAAGTATTACTGGCTGCCTACAACATGCTAATCACTGTGTCAGGTCCCCACAAGGGGTCAGGTCCTGTGAAGGAGCCAGTCCAGTGGCAGTGGCAGTGACACTAACAGAACGATGAGTACTGTCCCTGGAGAGCACAGAGCATCGTGGGAGCAGAGTGAGGCCACACACTCCTCTGTGACGTTGAGGGGACTGCCCTGGGAAGGGCTCCTGAGATTGAAATGAAATGCAGGAGACGGTGAAAGAGTCGCAGGACAACGTAAGTGTGCTTCTGGGAGAAGGAGTAGGGTAAGCATCAAAAGCCAGACAGAACTCGGTAGGTTTAAGGTGAGGCAGGTACAGAGCACTGGAGTGGGGAGAGGTGAGAGGTGAGGCCTGTCAAGTAAGCATAAGCCAGGTCACAACAACTCTGTTAATTACATGAAGCAACCTGACCCTTTACATAAAATTAAATCACTAGGAATTTAAATATTCTTCGATTAAGATGTACTCCTATTTGCCACTTTGTTAGTAAACTTGAATACACTGATATGTGTACATTCAAGACAATAGTCAATGAAAATGTATTCAACTGCTTATCCATGTGTTTTCATCTAAATAAAAATCTTTGCTATCAAACTTATTCTGACAGACAGTGAAGCTACAGACCTGGGCAGAACTGCCCCACAGGGTTTCCAAGGCACTAATATTTATATTAACTGACTGCCATATTTTTCTCTTATGGAGTCGATAGTAGATTTGAACCACTAACCTTTGGATTAGCAGCTAAGCACTTAAATACTGCACCACCAAGGCTCCTAAATCAAGGCACTAGAATTCATAATGGTGGCTTTGGGCTGAGCAGTGTCAGTTTTACCAGCGAAGAAGCTGGAGAGTGACAGAATAAAACCCCAAGGCTCAGGGAGCTTCCCAGGCCAGCGGTACTCTGCAGTCCTGACCTGGCTCCCGAGGACGAGGACAAGTGCAAGTTCCGTATCCGGTGCTTCCCGAACCCTCTGCACTTCTGCCCTCAGCTCACTGGAAGCAGTGTCCCTCGATCAATTGTAATGACGAGTATGACCTCTTTAAGTGAGTTCTGTGAGCCTTTAGCAAATGATCAACTGAAGGAGATTTCTCAGATGTGCAGACATGAAGAAAGGTTCCTAACTTTGGTAACACACTGCTTCCAAGGGCTACCAAAGGCCTGTGGTTCGAATCCGCCAGCTTCTATGTGGGAGAAGGCTGAGCGATCTCCTCCCACGTGATTTACTGCTTCTGAAGACCTGCTGGAGGCTGGGCTATGAGTGGGTCCTACTCGACGGCACACACCACCTCCGGCTCCTCACTCAGAACTGATCTAGTCATCACCAGGTCTCTGTTCTCCTGTTCTCCTTTCCATCCCTCCTTCCCTCCAGCCTTCTCTTTCTCCTGATTAATCTAAAAGAAGGGTTTAAAACTCAACATTTCAGTAGGAAACTGATTTACTACCTAAAGCCAAACTTTTTTATCTATTAATATCCTATGGAAGGTTCATTTCAGTTACAATGCAGCATAGACTACTACTAGGTACAAAATGATGGATTAGAATAAATCAAGTAATAATTAAGAATTTCAACATTTTAAGAGGAATATTTACTACATAAAAAAGGAATGTAATGTACATATAAATTATGTCAACACTTAAAACTCAATAGTTAAAGATTTTATGTCTAAATATATAATCATATTTCTTGTTATTAAGTCAGCTCAGTACTTAACATCTTGATTTTATACTGAAAAGTCAGTAAAGTCTTACCAGAGCCATAATGTCTGAAATAACGAGAACAAGGAGAAAAAGGCTGAAATAAAAATAAAACAAAACTTGAAGTATAATATAAAAGGTACATTTTTCCCCAACACATTAAAAGCAATTTAGAATAATCAAATATCCCAATATGTTAGTATCTTCCTTCTGAAAAAACACATTTCAACAGAGCTCTCTCGACATTACCATGGATAACTTCTCACAGTGATGCACCAGGCTTCAAATTTACTATCAAACACATTGGGTATTTTTCAATAGTATAAATGAACTTGAATTATCATTTTTAATGGAATTAATTATAATATAATTGAAAACTCACACGAAGTTGTAAGAAATAATAACAGCGAGATACCATACACTCTTTACCCAGTCTCCCAATGAAAGCATTTTGTAAAGCTTAGAACACAATCAATTGCAGCCAAGCCACCGGTACAGAAATGGTCAGGACAGAGCATTTCCACCACAGGATCCCTCCAACAGCTGCCCATGTCCTCTGCACCCCACCACAAGCCTCAGGGGCAACCTTTCTTTGACCCTGAATGTCCTGTCGACAGAATCCCACAGGGTGTAATCGCCGGGGCCTGGCTTCTTCACTCAGCACAGTTCTCTGCACGTTCACTCAGGGAGTTGTCTGCATTAATAGTTTGCTCCTTTATTTTTTAAAAAACAACATTCAGTAAATGAAAGTCGTCAAGGTTGCTTCTAGCTTGTGGCCATTGCAAATGAAGCTACTACAAACACAAGTATGTTTTAAATTCTAGGAGAAATGTCCAAGAGCACAATTTCTAGATTATATGGCAAATATTAAGTTTCCTAAGGAATGACTAAATCCTTCCAGAAATGAATATACTATTTTATATTCCTGTTAGCAATGTAAACGATCATTTTTACTAGCATTTGATGAAGCTACAATATTTTTATTTTATGTGGTGATATCACAGTGTGCCCTGAGTCAGAAATGAAAAGAGCAACTAGTGACATCACAAGTTAACTAAGGAGAAGACAGACTTATCTTTTATGTAATATCTAAGTGGTTTCAATGCCAAATTTATACCAATATACTGCAAAAAAAAAACCTTACAAAATTGAACTAGAAATGAGACTTCTACTTCTTAAACAGTGAGGTGGAAAGTATTTTTTTTTAATTATGCCACGTGTATAATAATATGGTGCAAACAGTTTTAGCTTAATGTCACCAAGAACAACATGTAAATTTATGCTGAAAGGAGCTTTTTCTTTCTAACTGAAGAGCTGATTTGCTTCAAGGACAACAGGCCTGTTAGGAGGCTCGTGTTCCCCTAAAGAGTCTCTAGGGGAGGCTGATCAGTGCTGATGCTTGAGGCCATCTGATTGGTTAAAAGGAGCAAATTGCTGAGCTGACAGCTTCTCCTTAAAGTCTTATTGGCTCAAGAAATTCCTCAAAATAAAGACAGATGTGTTCTAACTCCATTTGTCCGATGTGCAGGAATCCGAACTGAGAGACTAAGCAAATTACAGACATGTTAAAAAGTTCCTTTGAAGTCATGTAACACCAAATGTGAAAACATTTGCCCAATATTGAACATATTTAAGAAGTCAGTCACTAGGTAAGATAGAGTGGTATCACTTGCTGTTCTCAGTCCAAGAGAGCCAAATGATGACCCTAAGTATATCCCACCTATATTTACAGATCATTTCAGGGGCAGATTTGATGTATAGAAAAAACAGCGGCCAAGACCAGGAAACTTATAGGATGACATCAAGGACATAACACATGTTGAAAGTAAAAGTTCATTAAAAAAGAAAACGCAAAAGATATTCTCACCCACTCTCTTAAATGCTAGGCGTGAATGGAAGACATCATTTAAGAAGACAAAGAAAAATATTATCATGAACTGTGCAGAGACCTGGAGTTAGATAAGTCAAAGGGGAAAAGAGGCTCAGCATTTCTCCAGCTCTGAGAACTAAAGAATGAATTCAAGCCTCCAGTTGCAATACTGAAGGATTCTATAGGAAAAATATCGAGTGATGCAGGAAGCATCAAAATAAGATAGAAAGAATACACAGAGAATACAATGTTCAACCATTTCAAGTGAGATCATATGTTCACGAACCAATGATATGATACCAAAGGAAGGAGTGCAGGCTGCACTGAAGATACAGGTGAAAATCACGTCTCCAGGAAGTGACCGAATAGCAACCGGAATGTTTCAAAAAACGCATGCTGCGCTGCATGTGCTCACTTATCACTAGGCAAAAACATCCAGAAGCCATGCTACTGGCCAGGTAATTGGAGGAGATTCCTTCTGTACCCAATTTAAATAAAAGTTGGTCCATGAGAATGTGGAGATTACAAAAATAATTCCATTACTATAACATACAAATAAAGTCTTGCTGAAGGTAATTTTTAAAAGGCTGGAGGAGTACACCAACAAAGAACTGCCAGAATTTCAAAATGGATTCAGAAGAGGATACAGAACAGAGGCTATCATTGCTGATATCAGATGGATTTTGGCTGAAAGCAGAGAATACCATGTTTATCTGTGTCTTACGGGTCATGAAAAAGGTCTCTTTAAAATGCTAAAAAGCAAGGATGTGAAACTGAGATCTAAGGTGTACTTGGCTCAAGCCATGGTATTTTCAATCACCTCACATGCATGTGAAAGTTGGAAAATAACTAAGGAAGATGGAAGAATTAACAGATGTCTTCAAACTGTGGCGACAAAAAATAATATTAAACATATGATGGGCTGTCAAAATGCACACAATACTGTTTTAGATGAAGTGAAATCAGAATTCTCCTACATACAAGGATAAGGAGACTCTATTTCACATACTTGTTATTAGGAGCAGCTAGTCCCTGGAAAAAGACATCATTCCTAGTAAAGGAGAAGGTCAAACAATAGGGAAAGACTCTTAAAAAGATGGGATGGTAGCAGTAGCTACAACAATGAATTTAAGAATAGAAGACACTGTGAAGAAGGCACAGAATTGCACGGTGTTCATTCTGCTGGGGGTAAGGCTAAGATGAGTAGTCGCCTACCTGAATGCATTTAACAGCACCACCAGTGAAGTCTACAACAAACAAGTCAGTAACCGTAATAATCTCACATTCATTTTCTATTGTTCTCTACAGAGGCTCTTTGTTCAGTTACTGCTAAGAATTACTAGTCCACAAAAGATCCTAAACAACTAATTTCCTCTAAGGACAATTCAATTCCTATTAAAAAGGTGTAACATTTCTTTTTTTTTTTTTTGTATTTACAGTCTATGTTATAGTGACTTAATAGCCATCACAAGAATCACCTTCAAATGTGTACTCACTTCCTAAAAACAGACATTCCAAGTGCTTCCCACAATCCATCTTACCTTCTGGATGGCAACTGGGTAGTTAACTGAACTGCTTCAAAAGCACACATCACAAGGACAAAGGGGATTAAAATCTGTTTCGGATAATAGCAAATGAACAAATGAGATATTTGAACCTTGTTAAAAAACACTATTTTTCCTTATAATATTTTCAACTTCTCTAATAACATATGTACATATAGAGAGAGATAAAACATTGGACAAAATGAAAATTTGGTATCAGGACATACAACAGTAGTGAAGCGGATTAAGAAAATCCATACTAAAAATCTGTACAATATAAAAAATATGCCAATAAACATTCCAACTAAAATCTATTCTACTATTTTGTTCTTTTAAATAACTTGCTCTAAAAATTAATGACAATGTTCAAATGATTCTAAAAGGCTCTTACAAGGCATAGAACTCCCTAATCAAATAAATAATGTGGCCTGATATTCTGATTCCTAGATCTCTAAACTCATCCGGTTATTTGATATTTGTTGCTGTGTACTCACAAACTGACCCAGACTTATCGAGCTCTAAAGGATACACACAATTACCCCAGAGGGACTTTCTTTGAGGGAGCTCATCAACAAGTCTTTCTCTTGAGTGGCTGGTATGATCAAACCATACTTGGTACAACACTATAAACATGATTCAACCACTTTATAGTGCTCTTCTTAAATACGAATTTATTCCTGATTATAAAATACTGTAAAAAAATCTTTAAAATGCAGAAAAACGTATTAAAATAGAAATAAGGGGGGAATCTATTATAATTTGGGAAATTTGGGAAATAATATAAATAATATAATTATAATTTGGGAAACATGGTGAGATAATGCTTTTCAATGATCAATTCTTTTTTTAAAATTTTTTTATTTTATTGTATTTTGTGTGTGTACCGTCAAATCGGGTCTGACTGGTACAGGAGGAGATTGCCCCTCCTTCTCCAGCAGAGCATCTGGTGGATTTGAACTTTGTGCCTCTGGGACTGCAGTGCTGCTTCTTGCGAATGATCAATTCTTAATGAATTACATACTTGATATTTCAAAAAAGGGAGAGTGAAATATGTTAAAAACTGATATTCAAGAATCCATGCAAACCCTTTTTGCAAGTTAAAGATTCTGGAATAAAGTCAAGAAGAACTTTCCTTACTACCACGTCAGTCAAACAAATTAAGCTATTGTTTTATATTTTTAAAGCTCACTGAAATCACATAAGAGATTAAAGACCAAGCATTAAATTAAATCAAATATTTTCTTTTTAATTAAAGGATAAATATATCTAATAAATAAGAATTACTGTATTAAAAGATTGTGAGTAGAAATTAATAAAACAACAAAATTCAATAATGAATGGGACATAAGAAGACAGAAAATGTCTTTAACATTTCTTAAACATATATCAACTCTTGTCACTGGGGATCTAACTCCCTGGAAAGCAGAGGAGGTACAATTATCTTCTCCGTCACTGAAGCATCCAGCAAGGTGCATGCTACTACATGGAATCACTCAACAACAATATTCACTGAATCAATGAGTTCTTTCCAGGAATACGATTTGTGAGGAAAGAGGCAGGGAATATTCGGGGGGCCTTAGAATCTTCTGGAACACAGTAGTTTTGATCATAACTTCTCCATTTGCTTTAATAACTTTGTTTTGTTTTGTTTATTTTTTTCATGCAATCATTCCCATACATTGTTTTATAAAATTTATCACCATTGGACTACGCCCACCAGGATACTTTTAACAGAAATTTCAAGGACAAATGAGAAGCCCTGGTGGCATAGTTTGTAATGCATGAGGCTGCAATCAGAAAGGTCAGCTGTTTGAATCTAACAGTCACTCCTCAGCATCTCAGAGAAAAGATGGGCAGTGTCCTCCCTTCAAGGGTCCAGCCATGGAAACCTGACAGGGGATCCTTAAACACTGGCAATGACTCAGCCTCAGAGAGTTGGGTTTGGGCTTAGTGAGACACATACAAAATCTTCAGACTTCTGAAGTCAGAGAGGCATTTAACAGAGTAAAAACAGCGACTGTTGAGGTAAAGGCAGGAGAATCCCATCTCCAGTCCAGCAGTGGATTGATGCCAATCTCAGATGGTCTCGTTCCAACACTTTTGATCTCTGCCACAGTGACTTCATGATCCTCCTACTACACAATGTCGCAGACTCTGGATATCATAACTGGGCTCAAAGTATTAATCTTTCACTTAATAAAAATAAGAAAACTAACCTTCCACATCATCAGGGCTCCCATCATAAAAGGGCTGAACACGGTCAGAAAGCAATAGACAGAGGCAAGGTCAAAGCTAGAGAGGCAGAACATGAAGGAAAAGAACGTCAGAGCTCACGCGGTTATGTATAAGGGATATTGTTCTACAAATGATGTAATAAAGTCATTCTGCAATCTCTCCTTCTTAAAACACAAGCATACACACATGAAGGCATATTATGATGTCACTCAAAAGAAAGAGGTAGCTCCAGACACAACCCTCTCCAAACACATTACTCGGTGCATGAAGCAAGGTCCAAACAAAAGGTTAACATACCAACTGCGTAGTTTTGGCTTCCTACAAACCTACATTCTGTATTCAGCAAAATTTACCTGTTGATAGATGCTATATTTCCAGTCCCAAAAAATGCTGTCACTAGGAAGAAAACCTAAATGGTGTTAAGGAAATGCCAAGACAAATCAGAATTCAAACAGTTCTTTTACATTCAAAAAAATATAAGTTAACTCCGTCATGAGAATTTGCGCTTTTTTAACCTTTTTTATTTGACCAGAAAATTGTTTTAAACTAAGGTATTACTGTAATATAATAATGTCCTTGTAAATGCATTTTGTAAGAATCAGACTGAAGACAGGGTGTCCTGAGGAGGCAAGGTCTAGTAGGCTGGACTCACCTGCTCACTGGTCCCTGAGGACAATGGCTAATCTCCTCCTCTCTAGCAAGGAGAGTTGGATTACTGTATTTGCAGGTCACCACCAGCATGCCCACTAGTGAGCTACCTGCTAGATTTACATGGATCAGAAAGAAAGAGAGCATCTTTCCAAAATAGTTCAATAAAAAATGTTGAATATAGTTTTTAATATGTTTTTGAACACACATTTATATTAGTGCAGTAAAAAAAGGTAGAGACATGAACACTCTCTGTGCCCAAGGACTAAGTGCTAAAACTTAAAATACTGGCCGATCCAGTGAAAGGGCTCACTACATGCTAGTTGTTCTGTATTTACATACACGTGCATGAAAGAGGGACTGGAAACACTAAGAGAGTACTATGAATCTCCAAAACTTTGAATGGAAAAGTAGCATTTTGGTTGGCGAATTGAGTGAGCCTTAAAAATATCCCTTGGATAGATACATCCATTCAACCAATCAACTAGGCAACCAGTATTTACTGTCCAGTATATGGCCCAGACAGAGGTAGGTAGTAAGAAAATGAGTGTGAAGAAAACACTCCCCAAGTGCCCATCGTGAATCAGATTATATGTAGAGGAAGTTGAGAAATGTCTTAAAGCAAAAGAACTGTGAGAAAACACCTGGCATAGTTAAGCAGCAGCAAGGAGGTGTGATTAGAAATTGGGTTTTATTTCAATCCGTTTTTTTCTTATTTGTTTCCTTTATTTCAGCTCTAATCTTCATTATTTCTTTTCTTCTGAAGTAGGTTTCCCCTTGCCCCTAGCAGCAGAGAAGGTAAGGAGTTGGGATTCCAATCCAAAGTCAAATGGTTCAAATTCACTAGGTGCACTTCTGAAAAAAGATGGGCAGTACTTTCCCATGTGATTTATAGCCTCTGAAACCCTGCTCGGGGATCAGTTATGAGTTAGTTCTGACTCAACGGCAATGAGCTGAGTTATTACATTTCTAATTATTAGGGCTGGATTAGATACTGACATTTCTATCTCTATCTCTATCTCTAGCTCTATCTCTATCTCTATATCTATACGTGCTGTAAACATCCATGCATGCGGTAGAACAGCAAAGTTACACAAACTTATCAGTCATAACCAAACAGAGACAACGAGTCACTTAGACCAGTCTGAGCAGACAGCTATGGTCTGTAAGCTCCTGCAGTGAGTAGTGGCTGGACCATTAAATACTAGAAGGCAGCACCTAAGGTCCAAGCACCTCTGTTCAAAGCAAGAAGAATAAGAACATCCAAGATTCATAGACATAGTTGGTCCAAGGACTCATGGACCATGGAAATCTCAGCCACTCTGGTAGCTTAATGGTAAGGAGTTGTACTGCCAATCCAAACGCCAATGGTTCAAATCCATCAGCTGCTCTGTGGGAGAAAAAAAGGCAATCTCCTTCTATGTGTTAAACTACAAACCTGCTGAAGGCTCGGCTACGAGTCAGCTCCAACTCAACTGTACACAACAACAAAACCCTGAGAACAGAACTAGATGGTGGCTGGCTACCAGCACCCACTGGTCTGACAGGTATCACAGTCGAATGTCCTCGATAAGAACAGAAGAGGTGGAACAAAAGAAACACCCACGACTGTGACCCTCAGTCACCTTGTCAGCCTAACACTGAACTCACATTCGTGCTTCAACTTTCAGCCAAACAGACGGGCCCATGAGATAGACCAGCCACATCCAGGGAGGTGTGTCCTACTTAGAGCAATCATCCATAGTGAGATCAAAAAGGAGCATCTGCCCAGGGCTAGGACTCAGAGGACAGGACAGAGTGACGACCAGATACAGAAAGCACAGCGGGGAAGTGGAAGCTGCCGCTGCATGGTGGAGACAATAAATGTTACCAAAAAAACACTCCAACAGGCAGAAACGCCTGCTGTGTCTTCTTGCTCCATTAAATGGGAGGCAGAGTCCTTACAATAAATATTTCAGTGAAGGATACAAGGAAAAAGGCCCTGCGGATGTCATCCAGATAGAGCTGCCGAAACTGACTTATATCCGTGTTACAGGAGAAGTCAAAACTGGTGAGCTGTGAGAGAAGAAAATAGTAATACACTCTACTAGTCGGCTTATGTTTACAGTCAAAGGACAACTTGGAGTCTACGTTACAATGGCTATAGATCAATAAATCAATAAACAAAACAACTTATAGCTTATTTACACCAAAATAAAATCTGCCAAAATGTAAAATATGTTGATAATAATAAAATTATCTTGGTGGCTGTATTGCTTTCTGCATAACACTATTGAAAAGGGCTTTTATGATAGATAAAGGTTTCCCTTCTAATTCCTTGCATAATTCTTCCCTTTGCAAAGACTGATTCTCAGAGAGCATTCTGATCTTCCCTCAAAGTAGAGGATGCATTAAAAATAATGGTAAAAATAATTTCAAATCTCTACTACTTTGAGTGTCTGTTAAGTCTATATTTAGAGCAATAATTTTCTATTTTACAAAAAGGTAAAATATTCTTGGTTTTGGTAAAGTATGAAGTTATTCAACAAGATGCAGTCACTATTTGCTTAAAGTCAGTCCCCTCACACTCAGGGAAGACTTTAAAGAGAGAGTTCCCCATTATTCACTCCACAGAGCCACGGCCATTCGCTCTCATAAGAATCACATAGTGACAATTCTACTACTTCACACAGGACACTATGGGTTGGAATTGATTCAAATGCATACAAAAAATTAAAGCCTTGGGACACTGTGGGGATTGTAACCCATGCTAAGAAACAAAAAGTGTGTGGACCCTGCAATGGAAAACTTTCCTTGGGAAAGATAACTTACTTTTCATTGAAAACCAAAATTTTTTAAATGAAACAATGAATCCCAGTCAGTCTACTAAAATATTTAATATTAAGAAAAGTCTCTGATCATTTATTTGAACCTTAGAACTCCTTTTTATGCATTGTTGTAATACCTCAAGGCTGAAAGTTAAAAGCAGTGTTTAATATATGTTCCTTAAGTTTCTCATTAATTTCATTTTCATAAATGTTGATTAGGGTGGGCTCAACCTAAAACTACTTCCCACAAACCAAACTCTGATTCAGTGCTGGCAAGCTGCTTCTAAGTCCATCAGGTCTGTGAGGACATAACCACAATAGGAGGACACTGACCGTTTGTCTGCTGCAGAGCAACTAGTGAACTGGAACCAAGGGTGACATGCTGACTTTGGGGGAGCAACGCGGTACAGAGCGCGCCACCAGAAGCCCAGAGCCAGTTCAAGACAAAGTAGGAGGGTGTTTTCCTGCATTACTCATCCGCTTTAACTAAAATGGCAAATATTCTAGCACCAATGCTATCACATAACCTACAATTCTAAACCAAACAAAAGCACGAATCGCCAGTTCTATTCTACAACACAGCATGATAAAGATACTCTTAAAATCTCATTGGACCTTACAATTTAGAGCAGACTGTGTTGAACTGCGGTTAAAGGAACAAGTCAAGGTCATGATCACAGAGGTGGCAGAACAAGCATTTTAGATTAAGATGACAAGAAAGAAAAAAAATAATAACATTGGAAATTTTGTCATCTTACAATCAAATTCACAAATTACAACAATATAAATATCCCTTGGCTAAAATGAACTGGATGAGGGAATAACTGGACCTAAAAATGGAGAAAAATAAGATGAAGCGTCTCCTCTTGCCTCGATTCCTTCAGCTGTATTTCTGCATCAGGGCCTCTACCTCAGTCTGGATCACCGCCCATCAAACAACGAGAACACATTCTTCCATGGCACGGGGCAAGCGTTAGGAGTTAGTGATTTGATTGCCAGTGCCAAGTAACACTTACTTGTTTTTCAAACACCATTAACTTTTTAGAAAATAAAAATCTTAATGAAATAATATTCTGACATCCTTATTAGAGAATATTTTCATAGAGAGTATTTAATAGAGAATATGGAAGTATATTGTAATGGAATCAACTAAACTAGACCATGATTTTAGTAAGTTACCTTCTGTTTACAGGAAACACCAGATTGTTGTAGAGTTTCTTGTTCCATCTGTATCCAGACAAACATCAAACATGACAACAACAGTGGAAAGAGAGCTTCATACCTATTTGGAACAGGGGGGTTGAGGATGAGGGTAGTAGGACAAGGCATAGGAGGAAATATTAGAGGGGGAAAACAAAGCAAATAAAAACTATACATTTATAATGAGAGGTCTTTCTCAGATTTTAATCACAATATCACTGTAAGCTTCCCAGAAGACAGTAGAAAAGAAAACTGACATTTCAATTCCAACTTAATAAATCTTGAGATCATTATCTGCTTAAAATAGAACAGGTTTAAAAAGCATTCATAAAATAGATGGCAAATGTGCACAACAATAATGAAAATACTAAGAGAAAAGTAGGAAGATAATTCCAGAGTTAAACTAAATAAATACACATGGTCACAGGGTAAGAAGAAATTGTCAATTTTAAAAAATGGGGGGGGGGGAGGTGCAAAAGACAAAAACATCCACAGAAAGGATAGCTCTGATAAAAGGTTTTTCCCTCTCTTGTCACAACTTTCCAAATGGAGGTCATATGATTTTTATAATTATGAAAAATTAGTTGAAAAACAAAGCTTTAAAATGCCTGTGTCTTAGTCATTCCTTAAAGCTTATTCCAAGGCCTATGTGAGTCCTAGATGGCACGAATCCAGCTCTACTGCTCATTCTTTATATTAGACATTAACTCAAAACAACTTACCCATTCCATTATGTAATTGTCTAACACTCTAAAATAAAGTCCCCCCCCCTTTTTTTTTTGGAGCAGCTTACAATTCTGTATATGCCTGTGGAACGGGTGTGCCTCATCCAGGCCATAGTCTTTGCAATTACTTGCTGTGTCAGACAGCTGGACAACGGCTAACGATGATAGAAGGAGAACTGACACCTTTGAGCTGTGTGTCTGGAGAAGAGTACTGAATATACCACACACTGCTAGGAGAACAAATAAGTTCATCCTAGAGAGGGTGAAACCAGCCTGCTCCTTGGAGGCAAGGATTCTGAAACTTCATCTGACATTCTTCGGGCATGTTTCAAGGAGAGAACAGTCCTTGGAAAGTGACATCATGCTAGGAAGGGTAGAGGGACTGCTCAAGAGAGAAAGACCCTGGATAAGATGGATTGATTCCATGATGAGGGTAATGGAGTTAGATGTGTCAGAAACAAAGAAATTGGCTCAGGATAGAGCAGGGTTCAGAGATGTTATTATACTTAGGGTCACTACGAGTCGCAAGAGACTCAATGGCATATAACAACAATACATCCATTTAACACTATGTAATGTTAGCTTAAAAGCTGGCTTTTCCAGCCATTATGCTACCTTAACTGAAAACACACGGTCTTGCAAATTATCAACAGCTTGGAACTAGGATGAGAAAGAGAAAGAGAGTGAGAGAGAGTTTCCCACACAGAGCAGCAAGACTTGAGGGGGATTGGATCTGAGCACAAGACCCTGGTGAGTGAGACTCTAGTGATGGTGGTGGAGTGACTGTGACATTGCTATGGATAAACTGTGGCAAGTGGAACCAGAGGAGCCCTGAGATAAAGGCCACAGTTAAAGGTTTTCCTTTTCCTTCTGGATGATGGAAGGAAAGGCTGACTGCTGAACTGAAACCAGAGTCTGGACTAATTGAGGTATTGTGCCTTGGGACTGCTGGACTAAAACCTAGACTTGCACTGGGTGATATTCTTTACCTCCCCCCCACTCTCCAACTTATTTCCCTAATAAACCCCACTCTCAATACCACAGCTATGAGTAAAATCTGTGAGACAACAATGAATATTGGACTCAAATGATTGGTAGAAAGAGGCGCAGGAGCATGGGGGTTGCCATGTCTGACCAAGCAAATATCTATATGCTGCTACTTCTTTTATTGATGCGGACAGTTCCCTTTTATGAAGTAGGAGAGGTCAGACTCGGCCACCACATCCTTATATCCCACCTGATCCTTTCAGAACTATGGATTTCCCCCCACTTTTTTTTTATTAATTTTAATGAAAGGTTACAGAGACTTACGGTTTCCAGAACTATGGATTTTAAACATAAACCCACTGATGATTAACTGAATCAAAAGTCATGCTTTGGACTACAGTTTTCTTACTGCTTATAATGATATATATGCAATTATTCATTTCTAAGATATAAGAATTTCATAATTCTATAAAACATGTTACATATTTATATCCTTCAAAAAACCTATAAACTATGATCACTTTCTTTTATATAATGTAGTTAAACCAATCAAAAGAGTTTTCCTGTGGGACATCATTTTTTTAAAATAATGTATTAGATACTATCTACATATTTGAATTAGCTGAAATACAAATTAAATGTTATTATGGGCTCTGAGAGCACATAATGAAACCTTACTAAACAAGAAGCAGTTCATGTGGTCTCTACAAATTGAATAGGCCTGGAAAAGCATGTTAGCTTATGATGGAGAGACTTTATCTCATAGGATTTTCACATGTTACTGGAAATGACCAATCTTTTAAGAAGATTGTCATGTTAGTAAAGTAAAATGCCAGTGAAAATGAGTAAAACCTCTAACGAGAGACTAAAACAGTGGCAGCAGCAGTGGGCTCAAACATAGCAAACAACTGTCAATGTAGCTTTTTGTTCTGTTGTACAGTGTCATTACATAGAGTTGCTACAAGTAGACACCAACTAGACAACAACTAACAAGTTTTCCAAAGACTGAACTAAAGTCTTGGGCCAAATAAGTTTACAAAAAAAAAAAAATATCCAGGAATAATTTGATAATTTAATAATTTGTTGATACAATAATAATTAGCTCCACAGATTTAGTCTAATTTAGGAGATACTGTATTTGGCAAAAAATTCAAACTATATGCATTATTTATTCAACGTGTCTTTCCTACTCAGTGTTTGTTGTAATGTGCCTATTTCTAAACCTCAGGAAGACTTAAAAAGAGATGAAGTAAAATTAAAAAGTAAGAAAATGAAGGTCCAAAATTTAATGATGGGAATAATTGATTGTTGTCTCAGAATCATAAAGAGTGATTGCTTCAGGGTCTGCCTCCAATAAAACTTAATTTGGTTTTCAGAAAATTTCAATATTAAATAAAAAACCGTTTTCATTAGGTTAAGTTTCCTTAACTTTGGGGAAACATTCTGAAAGTTTCCTGAATCACAAGAGTATCTGTACCATGGTACATCTAAAAGCAAAACTAAAAACATATTTAAAAATAAAATTCAAAGAAGAATGAACAATTTAAATAAAATAAATACAACAAGTGGGAAAAAAACATATGCTAGATAATTGTTTGAAACTCAAGATTTACTAACAATTCTTACTTATAGAAGCTAAAGACTGATAGAGAAAATAACAGATATATTTTTAAGCTTGGTATTATTTGATCTAATCCACCAGCTGCTTCATGGGGAAAAAAATGGGTAATCTCCCACGTGATTGAAAGCCTCTGAAAAACTGCTGGAAGGTCAATGAGTTAATACTGACTCAAAAGTATACAACATTAAGATTTAAATGTTTATAAGTTTATACCCCGTGCTTAGCAGCAGGTAGGTGGGCATCAGGGACAGAAGGATGTTGAGCAGTCGCTGGAGGAGGACGGAGGGACTCAGCAGAGGCACCACCAGGGAGGAGGCTGCAACGACACAGAGCAGGTCCTGGGTCAGCGCCGGAACCGGGAGCCGGGCTACTGCACGGGCACCACGAGCTCTGTCACCAGTTAGCCGAGTTCTGTCACCAGTTAGCCGAGTTCTGTCACCAGTTAGCCCGTTCGCAGTGTGTACGGTATTGCAACAAGAGCTTATATTTGCACTCATTTTTTTTTCCAAGAACAAATTATTTCAATTTCCCTCAATCCCCCCACCCATCAAATTGTACAACCCCATCATTAATGCCCCTCCCCCTGCACATCCTCATCCCTCTGCTTCCAGCCTCTCCCATCCTCCTGGATCCTTTCACTCATTCTACAATAATGGTTTTATACAATATTTATCTTTGTGGGACTGAGTCAGTTCACTGCACTAATCATTTTTATAAGAAATCTGGCACTTGACCTTTATAATTAAAATTACATTTATTTAAACTATAATTACATTTATTTTAATTATAGTTTGCTTTAAATAATTTAGATTTTCTGCATTTTCATGCAGCAGACTTTTGTCAGAAGTCAAATATATCAGATACAATCAGATCATAAATATTATAATAATCAGATCATAAATATTCTTCAGTAATTCTTCTACATATTTGCATATTTAGTTTTTAATTTTTATCTTATTCTTTATGTGTGTGTGTGTGTGTGTGTGTGTGTGTACCGTCAAATTGGATCTGACTGGTACAAGAGGAGATTGCCCCTCCTATTTGCATATTTAGATATATTAGACAGCTCTAATTCTGACATACTCAAGCAAGAGATAGCAAGAGGAGGTGGCTATTACTATTTTCATAAAACCATTTCTTCCAAGAGCAATAATAATGGCAGAACTGGGTCAATAATAATGGCAGAACTGGGTCATTTTCTGCCCAGTGACTGGAGGTCACTCACCCAGGACGGTCCAGCTAACGACCTGATTGCGGAGAGGCAGTCCTTCCTTCCTGAGCAGACTGTGATGGGTGCTGGACACGACCAGCATGGAGAGCACCGTGCTCAGCATCTGAACACAGAGACAGAAAAGGGTCGTCACTGGAGGGGCTGGGACTCACTCACACACTAGGAAGAACGTCCAGGCAAGAGCGGGGAGCACGGGGAGTCTGGCCAAAGTGCCGTTTGAACCATATGGACCCAGCTCCCCGAATGGTGGCCAGGCTGACTCAGTGCTCTTGAACTAAGCAAAGAAAGGGTCACCCCTTGTAAATTATGAAATGGCACATTTCACACTTTGAAGAGAATATTGTCAGATGTTATCATGTTTTTACTCAGCAGCATTCATTATTAATGTTACCATTTTCTTAAATTATAGAAACAGAGTGAAATAGGTTCAGTTCAGTGTAATTAAGTAATTGCCATCTTTGGCCTTCAACCAAAAATCCATCTATTTGTTAATTCATTTGTTCATGTAGTTGTGGTTGGAGTAACCGCTTAGTTCTTTTTTTAAAAAAAAAAAATTAATTTTATTATTTTTTGTGTGTGTACCATCAAATCAGATCTGACTGGCACAGAGGAGGAGAAGGCCCCTCCTTCTCCAGAAGAGTATCTGGTGGATTTGAACCGTGTACCTCTGCGGTTAGGGACCTCTCTAAAGTACTCAAGAGCAACGGTGTCTCTCTGAAGACTAAGGTGCGCCTGATACAGGCCATGGTTTTTGCAATCACTTGTTATGCATCAGAGAGTTGGACAATGACTAGGGAAGATAGAAGGAGAATTGACGACTTTGAGCTGTGGTGCTGGAGAAGAGTACTGAATGCACCATGGACTGCCAGGAAAACAAATAGATTCACCCTAGAGAGGGTTAAACCAGGCTGCTCCTTGGAGGCAAGGATTCTGGGGCTTCACCTGACATACTTTGGACATGTTGTAAGGAGAGACAGGTCTTTGGAGAGGGACATCATGCTGGGCAGAGTGGAGGGACAGTGCAGGAGTGGAAGACCCTCTATGAGGTGGATTGATTCAGTGACTAGGTTAATTGTGATGGGTGTGTCGGAGGCAATGAGATTGGCACAGGTTAGAGCACGGTTTAGGGCTGTTGTACATAGGGTCGCTATGAGTCGCCAGCGACTCGACGGCACATAACAACAACAACAAACAGCCTCTGGGATTATAGTACAACTTCTTGCCATTAGGCCACCAGAGCTCCCAGGTACCTAGTTCTTAAGATACGAAAACTATAAATACAAGTTAGGTAACTCATAAACTAGTGTCACAACAAAGCAAGCTCACAGCCCTCAAGTCGATCCTGACCCACAGTAATGCTATAGCGCAGAGCAGAGCGGCACCATATGCCTTTTAGAGAAGACAACTGACTCCCTTTCTTCTGCAGAGCAGCTGGTGTGTATGAACAAATGACCTTTCTGTTAGCAGCTGAGGACTTACTGCACCAAGGCTTCTTATAAACTGGAGTGGGAGGTGGCAGATGGCAGAGGGGAGACTGGTGCTTTCACACATTCTGCTTTATTGGGATACAATCACTCCAGTTCACTTTACACAGTGTCTGTGGGCACTTCTGACCTACATGGTAGAGATGAAAACTTGGGGCTGACACCATATGAGCCACAAGTCTAAAATAGACTAGTTCCTTTAGAATAAAGCTTTCCAAACCACTATTTTTAAAGAGGGGGGCTGTGAATGAAGTCAGTTCCCTTCGAGATCAGGAGTTTCAGCATATGATCTGAGCGATTTATTCCCATGTTACTAGGAAATTAAGAGGCAAATGGAATGCACCTATGCCAATATAGGGTTGTTGTTGTTGTTGTTGTTAAGTGTCCTCATGTCATAGACAACTCATAGTGACCCTGTGAATCACAGAAGTGAACACTTATATAACTTTCATTGTTTCTCCAAGTTCATAGTTTCCGGAGGCAAGCCATTTTGGAAGTGGATGCCACTCCTGCTTCCAAGCTTGTTTTAAACAGAGTGCTCCACCAAACACTGTCCACCATGGGTGACCATTATTGCATTTGACACATCAGTGTCACAGTGTTCCGCTTCACAGCAACCACGAGTTACCTCTGCACAGCAAATGGACAGACCAGTGCTATACCACTTAGAAGAATGTTTGACCAAAAACAATTAAAACCAGGCCTAAGAGCCGCAGATTAAATTCCAAAACATTCTCACGTCAGAGATATGGGAAATGCGCCTCTTAGACTCACTGAGATGCACTGTAACGACTGAGTAGTATCGTTTGAAAATTACCTTGCTGAAGGAGGAAGCATGTTTTCTCAAATTGTCAGGTGTTGACAACTTAGGTCAGACACACAGTGGTCCTCTGACAAGAGAAAAACTCTGTCCCACCCTGTGCCATCCTCACAGTCTCTGCTCTTTTTAAACCCATTTTCCCAATCACTGTGAGAATCTATCTGTTGAGAACCACATTCTTTTTCACTGACTCTCTTCTTTTTCCAAGTGTGATGTCCTCCTCCAACTACTGGCCCCTCTTGACAACATGCCCAGAGTATGTGAGATGGAGTCCCACCATCCTTGTTTCTAAGGAATGTTTCGGCTGGAATTTTTCCAAGACAGATTTGTTTGCTCTTTTGACAGAGCAGGCTCAATACTGCTCACCAACCTCGCAATTCAAAAGCATCAGTTCTTCTCTGGTTTCCCATAGTCACTGTCCAGTTTTCACATGCATATGGAGCAACTGAACATAGCTTGGGTCAAGTGGTATCCTCATTCTTCAGCACTGTGAAGAGGTCCTTGGCAATACATTTGCCCACTGAAACAGATCATTCGATGTCTTGACTGTTTCCACGATGGATTTTGGGTTCAAGTAAAAGAAAATCCTTGACAATCTCAATCTTTTTAAATTTATCATAATGTTGTCTATTGGCGCTGTGGTGACACAGTGCTAAAAGTAACTAAAAGGTCAGCAGTTTGAAGCCACACAACCCCTATGGAGAAAGATTGGCAGTCTCCTCCGGGAAAGATGTACAGGCTCCGAAGCTACGGGAGGGTCCCTGTGAGTGCAGACAACTCCACTCCCGTGAGCACGCTCATTTGCAATGTGGCAGATTCAACGTGAAGTTCATTCAAAAGGAAATTTTAAAAATACGTTACTTAGAAAATAAGCAAAAAGAGAAACTAAATGAATAGAAATAGGAACAGTAGTAATTAACTTTTTTTACAAAAACTATAATTTAAAAGTTATGGTTTTGCATATAGTGAATATACACAGTAAATATTACCTGAATGATTACAGGTGTCAAGATGCAAGGATAAAGGGGGTTAAAAGTTAGTGCAGAAAAATACGGTAAATATTTACTGTGATTTGGCTAAAAGAAGGAATAGATATGACTCTGAAAATTGTTGACATTAATAAAATAATGTTTTCAAAATTTTGACCATCATGAATTATAAAGGTAAATGCTTATCTTTGAAACTTATACATAAAGAATATTTAGTGTGTTTAAGTTTATTTTTTGAGGAAATATAGACTAATAGGGAGGTAAAATTTTGTTAATAATAGGATATAAAGTTAATACAAAATTGATTTTGTAATGGATTCACTTCATGTAGGGGTACTTCTGAAAAACCACATTCCAATGGAAATACTTTGTCTACAGAGTCAGATTCAGAAATATTTACTCCTGTCAAATGACATGATATCTGAGAATTCAATGAAAGCCACGCATAGGTCTTGATTTAAAGTCATCAACTGCTTGGTAAGCTTTTTGACAAAAATAAAAATTATTCACTTTTTATAATTTCCTTATTGTTGTAAAATAATTTTAATTAAGACATTATCAGCTACTTGTTATTTTTTTTCAGCATGCAATTGGAAATTCTGTATACTATCCTAGGTTTGCCCTGATGAAATTTTTAGAAGACTTAGGATTTTTGTTTTCTGCTTTTTGTCTCTGTTTTAGATATGATTTTGCTTTGTTTTATTTAAAAGAAAAACAAGTGGTGTCCATACACATCTAACAAAAAAAAAAGCTATGAGTTTGCAGAATATTTTATTATTTAATCATTTAGATAGTATCTGTACTTTAAAGATTTAAAACAAAAAACAACCAACTGAAGTTAGATTACTTAAGAGCACACAGCTATTATAAAACACAACTAGGAAATAATACCATTTTCAAAGGTCTAGTTCAAAGCTTTTGAAGTACATAAAGGTCACCAACCAAGCTTAAGTTTATTTTCTCCCTGGACAGCATCTAAAGTATAACTGGCTTCATATAAATACAACCTGAGGCAGCTTTTACTTCAAAAAGCCTTAACTTTTTCAAGTCCAAAGTTAACTTTTTGCAGCTCAAAGGGGGACAACACAGGATGTTGGCCCAGGGAAGGGCCCTGTCAGCTCAACTTTGTGGCCAGTGCCGCTCTCTGGCCCTCGACCCATCCCCTCTCTAGGTTTCCTCAGTCTTTCTCCTGGGAGCCATTTTTGGAGACTGCCTCCAATATCACACAGAGAATTTTTCCATGTCATGTCTTTAACTGAAAACTTTTCTTTTCAGTTGGCAACAATTACGTACGCTAACCACCATGATATCATCAGAACAACCTAACAAAATATAACCTAAGGTATATCTGGGTCTGACATGCGTGTAATACAGTATTGAAAAATCTGTTACTGACCTGCAATAAAGGTACCAGTAGCTCTTCACTTAAAATATTATCTCTACGCCTAATGAGAGATATTACGGCAAACAGGGACAGCAGAAGAACCAGCAAGCCTGCACACATTCTGTTTCAAAACACAATTAAAAGTTTTAAATTTCCACAACACGTTTACCAAAACAGTATGGCAACAGAAAACATTTTACTAATGTAGAATTTCTCAATCATTTGATTTAATCAAGATGAAGGAGCGAAATAGATACACTAGTAGAAATAAAAATCTTGGGCTAAAAATAGGATAAAATGGTATTATTTGTAATATTCTCTCATTTTTCTTCTAAAATCTTTAATTCTATTGTTTACTTTAAGACTTTCAAGGATTTTGCCATCATAATATTTAGTCTGTTTTGGACAAATTTCCAAAAAGAAATAGAAAAGTAAATAAAAAAATTATCCATATCTAAAACATATATTTTATGGCTGTGAACACTTATTTATTCATACAAAAAACATGCAGACTTATGATTTGTATTATATCCATTAAAATCAGAAAAGATATATATCAAGGTTGTATACTTTCATGAGGCATATTCAATCTGCACGCTGAAAAAATAATCCGAGAAGCTGCTGTCGATGAAGAATACAGAATCAGGATTGGGAACACCTCAATCAGCAATACGTGACATGCAGATTAGACAATCTCACTTGCTGAAAGTGAAGATGACTTGAGGCTGTTGCTGATGAAAATCAAATACTACAGCCTTTAGTAGGGATTATACACCAACATAAAACAAAAGCGCTCCGCACTGGAACAACGGGCAACATAATAATAGAAAATAAACAAGTTGTCAAAGATTTCATTTGTCTTGGATCTATAATCAACACTCATGGAAGCGGCAGTCAATCATCACACTGCACTGAGTGCATCTGCTGCAGAACATCTCCTTAAAGGGTTCAAGAGCAATGATGTCACTGTGAGGACTGAGGAATGCCTGATCCAACCCAAAGAAGTGTCCACTATCTCGTTATGCAGTTATAGTATTAGAGATAGAACCCAGATTGGAAGTCAACCAAAAGAGTGAGAAAGAGCTGCAAACATCCTTTCACAGGTGGAACTTGCAAAGTGCAAACTATGAATAGTGGAAAATTAAGTTGTGAAAATTGAAAGAATATATGAACATCAACATTCTAGGAACTAGTGACACGAAATGGATTGGTTTTGGCAACTTTGAATCAGATAATCACAAGCTACACTATACCAAGAATGAAAAGGAGAGGAAGAATGGCATTTTATTCATATTTAAAAAGCAATTTCACGTTCTATCTTGAAATACAATGTTGTGACTAACAGAATACTATCTATAAGCAAATAAGAAAGACCTGTTAATATGACTGTTATTCAAATATACGTACCAACAACTAAAGCCAAAGAACAGAAAATTGAAGATTTTACCAAATTTTGCAGTCCTTTATTGACCAGTCAAGATGTATTAATGGTAACTGGTGACTGGAATGCAAAAGTTGGAAACAATAAGAAGGAAGAGTGGTTGGAAAGTATAGACTTGGTGACAGAAATGAGGCTGAAGACAGAATTTTATACCTTCAATGATTTGTTCATTGCAAATACCTTCTAAAAAATTACAAATGTTAACTTTACACATGGCCCTCACCAGAAGGACTGCACAGGAATCAGAATGACTACATCAGTGGAAGGAATCACTGGAGAAGCTCAGTATCAGCAGTCAAACCGGGCCAGATGCCGTCTGCAGAAGCATCAATTACTTATGTGCAGGTTCAAACTAAGGCTGAAGAAAATAAAACCAGTCCTCAAGAACTAAAATATGATCTTGAGTCTATCTAACCTAAATTTAAAAATCTTCTTAAGAAGAGGATTGAAGCTTTGAACACCAATGATCAAAAAGACCAGATGAGTTGTGGGACGACATCAAGGGTATCATCCATGAAGAGAGAAAAACCTCATTACAAAGAGGACAAACTAAAAACCCACATGGATGTCAGAAGAGAACCTAAAAATTGCACTACAGTGTCAAGAAGCCAAAACTTACCGAAAGAGACGTTGAGGTAAAAGAGGTGAACAGAAGATTTCAAAGGGCAGCTCAAGAAGACAAAGTATTATAACAAACTGTGCAGGAACCTAGAATTGAAGAATAAAAAGGGAATAACTCGCTCAGCATTTCTAAGCTGAAAGAATTGAAAAACAAATTCAAGTCTTGATTTCCAATACTTAGAGATGCTATGGGCAAAATTTTGAATGACCCAGGAAGCATCAAAAGAAGATGGAGGAAATACACAGAGTCATCGTAGCAAAGAGAACTGGCCCACATGCAAATATTTCAGGAAGTTCCACATGACCAAGAGCCACTGGCAATTAAGGAAGAAGTTCAAGCTGCACTGAAGCACTGGCAAAAACAAACAAACAAAAAACAAACAAACAAACAAACCAAAAACCCCTTAGGAATTGAAAGGATACCAACTGACACATTTTAAAAGACAGATGCAGCCCTGGATGCACTCACAAGTCTATGTTAGGAAATTTGGAGAACAGCTGCCTGATTGACTGACAGAAGAGATCCCACTGCCAAGAAAGGTGATCCATCAGAATGTGGAAATTATCAAACAAGAGCATTAATAAGACATGCAAGCAAAATACGGCTGAAAATCCTTTAAAAAATGGCTAGAACAGCACATAGAGAAATGCTACATTCAGAATGGAGGCTGTGACACCAGGGATATCACTGTTTATGTCAGATGGATCCTGGCTGAGAACAAAGAATAACAGAAGAATGTTCATTTGTGCTTTACTAATCATACAACGGCATTTAACTGTATGGATCATAACAAAATATGGCTAATATTGAGAAGAATAGGAATCTCAGAGTACTTGACTGTGCTCATGTGAAACCTATACCTACACCCAAAGGCTGTTATGTGAACAATCTGTATGCGAGCAAATTATTGGAGCAGTTGGACTCTATTAAAAAAAGTATGTGGCATCATGATTGGGGGAAGATTCATTAATAACCTTTATTTTTTTAAATAATTTTTATTATTTTTTTATGTGTGTACTGTCAAATCAGATCTGACTGCTTCAGGAGGAGTTTGCACCTCTTTCTTCAGCAGAGCATCAGGTGGATTTGAACCACACACCTCTGGGATTGCAGTGCAGCTACTTGCCAATAACCTTTATTATAAAGATGACACACCTTCACACCTTGCTTGCTCCAAGTGAGGAAAGAGGAAATAAACCCTAGTATTTTGAGTTCTCATTGCCCAGCAAGATATCTGTGACCATCCAAAGCCGTCATGTCTCTCTAACGCTAGAAGCAACTATAATCAGCTATCAGGGATTATTTTAACTACCAGTTTCTTCAAGTGAGTTTACACTCATTACCAATATTAGGTTCATAGTGTGGATGGAGAACACAGATGTGCTGAAAAGAATAAATACAAGAAGACTTCCATACACTAGGGAGATATCTGGTTTTCGTCCGACAACAGGCATCAGTGGAAACACAGCCACAAGCAGAGAGAAGAAGGTCCAATTCAGTGAGGTGACCTGAAATAGAGAAAAGAGTTTTCTTCAGACAAACGGCGCAGAAAACCGGTGATGCAGCCTGAAGTGTAACACAAGACCTCATGACTGTTCACTTGTAAGAGTAACTTATTTCTTCTCTGTGGATGAGTGCCATATACTGAAGTTCTGGGGGCTTGGAGCCCTACTCGCTGCACTGCTAACACAGGGTAAGCAGTTTGAAGCCCCTAGCTGCTCCTACCAAGATGCACAGCCTCCGAAATCGATGGTCTTCATGGTTCAGAAGTGACTTGACAGCACTGAGTCTGGAGTTTGGGTCACTGACTTACTAAGGTTCTAATATTTGATAAAAGTGCATCATTCCACCTAATCCTGACAACAACGTAAAGAGCTAGGCTTTATTATTCACAATATTTCAATGAGAAAAGTCAAAATACTAGTAGCATAAATGAAACACCAGGCTTCAAAGCTGGATCTGCTATTTCAAACCCAGTGCTTCATGCCATTCAAGCCTCACTGCTTTCTGACTGACTCTAAGAAGCCTGAACTAAGTAAGGACACTGTTTATATTAGATTGAGATAAAATATGATCAATAATCCTATTACCAGGAGATAATTTTAATTTTAAACATTTTTTAATTTAATTTCTCAAATATACACAGACAGTATTTCTATCTCCCTGCCACCCAATCAAAACATGAAAGCCTAAGAATATACTTCATAGGAGCGCACTGAGACCTCATTAGCCATCACATGCTCATTTGCTGTGAAAGGCTGTGAATCATCGCAACTGTAGAGACAGCCTCAAGTCAGGAGGAGAGGCTAATTTAGGTGGGATAGACTCAAGATCATATTTTAGGCTCTTTCCACAAGGGCACTCTCTGTCCCTTTGTTAAAGAATTAACATTTCCTTGAGCTAACCACACAAAGTAAGTTACTCACGCAACTTATGACAAAATTGGGATGTATACCTTGGCTCGAGTCCACAGCTGAGTGACAAAAGGCCAGCCAGCAAATGCGATGAGTCCAGCTGTAAGCATATAGCGGTAGAAGAAACTGAGCACCTAGGAAAGCATCCCAAAGGAGAAACGAAACGAGGTCATTCAGCCAGTTACACACAAAACACAGGATCCCTGAAAGCACTGCGATGTGGTGGGTTACTCACCAACACTTCAATTCCCAAGGTAAAGACGCACAGAGCACCAACAGAATGCCGCAGAGGGAAGGCCCGCAGTGACGTGACAAGGCCTCGGATAATGTGAGATCTGTTTCATGCATCAACGAAAAAGAAAACTTTTATGCTAATGATGAGAGGGGAAAAAATTCTCAACTTGTGTATCGTGAAGATTAAAATTTCGAGCAAATCTTGTAACCAGGAAATTATCCATTTATAGACTATTCAAAAACTAAGATAAAATTACTTGTTTTAATTACCTGAACTGTATTTTAGAAATCCAGAAATATTACAGGAAAATTTTAATTTTTTTAAACTACAAAAGTTTACTTCCTTTTTTACCCAAGAACACATGGCTGCTAACAGATGGTTGGTGATTCAAATCCACCAGCTGTTTTTCAGGAGAAAGACACAGCATTGGAAGTCCTAGGGGGCAGCTACATGCTTCCCAAAAGGGTCACTATGCATTGGAGTCAACTCGACAGCAATGGGTTGGGTTTGGAGCAATGAAAAGAGATGAATCCTGTTCGATGACAGTTGCTCTCTCATCCCGAGGTAAAGACTGACAGAGAGCCTACAGAACGACCCAGGGAAAGGTCTCAAGCCACATGAAGACTGTTTAAAGGCTTACAGAAAGAGATGCCTTATGCTATATATGGGGAAAGCTGCTGTCAAGTCAGTGGACCTCACAGCGGACACTCCACTGGGTTTCTGAGGCTGTAAATCACTGGGGAGGAGATTCTCCTAATCTCTAATCGTGGGAAATCTTAACTTCCCTTTTCACTGAGCTAAATAACTTGTTGTTGTTAGGTACTGTGGACTGATTCATAGCTGACCCTCCAGCAGTTTTCAGAGGCAGTAAATCACGAGAGGAGACTACTCATCTTTCTCCTTTGGAGCGCTGGTGGATTCAAACCATGTACCTTTACAATGTCAAAGCAATTCCTTACCACTAAGCCACCAGAGCTTCCAGTCGTAGTACAATCAATAATAATTGTATTACTTTATTTTGGAATTTTCACTGCTACAAAGATTGGTTACCTCCTCCTCTAAAATTTAAGGCTCTGAAAACCTGCTGGAGGGTCTTCTACACCTAAGTTTCCAAAGTAGTGAGTTTAAGGGTTCTTTGCCAGTTTGATTTCAGGGAAATGAAGAATTTTTAAAAGACAGAGTAAAACAAAAAGGATTCTCACATACCACATGTTATGTTACCTATAAATTAATTAAAGGGCAGTGGCAATTTGAAAGTGACATGAAGATGTCTTTGATGAACATGCTACAGAAATCTAGTCTGTTTTAAATTAAATTTAACTATGAATTGAAAACCAAAGTAGCGAGCTGCATTACTTACTCTCGCAGAACCGCATACCATATGGGCACCGGCAACAAACAATAGACGTAGTACGTCCAGGGAGAGGACTGAATCAGCAGGAAAGACGCCAATGAAAGGCCAATAGCTACAAAGCTACATGGCAGGAGATGGTCTGGCTTCTGAAAGTCAAACAAAACACTGATGTACCACACTCATGGTAATAGTTTCTTAAAAAGAAATTTTCTAAAGTGAAGAAAATATATTACTTTTTTTCCAGTGGTCCTATAACGAGTTGAGTAATAAAAGTTTTGCATCCAGAAATTAAAAAAATAAAAAAGACATCCATATACCTATCATCTGAGAGGGCAATTAAAGAAAATTAGCAATGGTCAACTTAAAAATATACTATATTCTCCAAGTTTGTTTACAAACAACCTGTTTATAGCTCTCAGCACTTTTTTACTTAAGGACAATTTTCTAAGATTACTTTTTTGGAGCCAGCGAGATCAAATAGTAAATAATGCTGTCCTTTAGCAGGTGAGCGATCAACCTTTAACTTAGTACTCTAACACATATTGTACTATATATCAACAGATGGCTTGTGTTAATACCATTGGCGGTGGTGTTAAGTGCCGTTGAGTCAAGTATGACTCATAGTGACCCTATGAACAAAAGATCTGAACCCTCTTCTGTAACTGTCGTCACTTCTCTAACGTTCATAGTATCCAATATCATAGAATAAGTTATTCAGAGTAACCCTTTAAGCTACAGAGCTATTTTATTAATGTACCTTTCTTACAAATGAAGAAATAGAAATAATGGAGAACTGGCAGCACACAATGAAGGCAAATAAGATACAGAACAGGTAGCTTAATGTGCACATTTAAGGATGCATTCCAGTTCATCCGGTAACTCTCTTTTCTCGGTCCTAATGATTTTATACCATCACACGAAGCTCCATTATATTCTCTGGACTCACCTTAACTTCTTTTCTAACACTTCTTGTGAAGTCCGAGTGAGACTTGACGATCAGCAAAGAAACATAAGCTGTCCATCCCACAAAACCCACAACAACGTTGACACCCAAGAAGAATCTGTCGTAAGTGTGGTAATAGGACAATCCTTCCAAAGCAAGACCAATCAGCTCCTTGCAAAGAGAGACCTACGAGAAAGGAGAACGTAACTTGCCAAGTGGAAAAGAAAAATCAAACTGAAAATGCTCATTGCTCAGAAGTGAGAACTGACTCACAGCTGACCATTCCCTGGGTTTCTACTGTTCTAAATCTCACTGGAGGAGGGGGCAGCTCTTTCTCCTGAGGAAATGCTAGTGCCTTCAAACCTCCAGAGAGGCCCAGGCCTGTGGGTCAGCTGGGCCACTCACTGTGGACCACTTTAAAATCATGAGAACATTTTTAAAAAGCAACAGCAAAAATAATGAAAAACAGACAAAGGTAGGAGTTGGGGAAAGTCAAGATTTAATATAAATAGAGTTATTATAGACATAACCCCAAATATTAAAAAATTCTATGCTATATAAAACATTATACATTGAGTCAGGTGACAGAATATTGGAATATACTTTCTCATAATCAAAATTAGCAGTAGTTAATTTCCAATGTTGACCTAGAAAAATGTACTCATATTATCTAAAGTATTGAAGAGCAATGATGTCAGTCTGGAGATTAAGGGGTGCGTGATACATGCCATGGTTTTCGCAATCACTTGCTATGTGTCAGAGAGCTGGACAATAACTAGGGATGATAGAAGGAGAATTGATGCCTTTGAGCTGTGATGTTGGAGAAGAGTACTGAATATACCATGGACTTCTAAGCTTCATCTGACATACTTTGGACATGTTGGAAGGAGGTACCAGTCCTTGAAGAAGGACATCATGCTTTATGAGAGGGATTGATTCAGTGGCTGGGGTAGAGGAGGGGGTAGGTGTGTCAGAGACAGTGAGACTGGCACAGGCTACGGCAGGGTTTAGGACTGTTGTACATAGGTTCACTATGAGTTGCACGCAACTCAACTGCACATAACAACAACGATTATCTGAAATAAGAGAAATAAGTCCAAGGATAAAGCAGTCACAGAGGATATTCACCCTTTCTTGAGGGTTCAGGAGAGCTCTCTGATCTACCCATTTTGCTCCCATCTGTACAGCCCACATCTCACCCCCAAAACAATGACTGGTAATTATAGACACAAGGTCTGAATACTTACTGCCTCATCATACTTCCTCTCTGTTATGTAAGATCTTGCTTTTCTTAAAAGGCTGAGTTGTTTAGAATCAGAAAGTAACCTACAACGAAAAAGCAGTACAGGATTAAAATGGTTCCTCAACGTTCTTACACCTAGATGATAAAGAGTTGCACTGCTAGTCCTAAAATAGCGCTCTCTAGGGGTTCAAATTCACCACAGCTCCTCAGGAGAAAGATGGACAATCTCTTCCCATGGGATTTACAATCTCTGAAAAATCTACTGGGGAGTCAGCTTTGAGTTGGTCCCAACTCTACGGCAATGGCTTTGACTTTGACTTGATGTTTACATATCACTTTAAAAATGAAAGTTACAGACTAGAAATAAAATTGTATCATCACCTGTAATCTGAACATTTCCAAGGAAGATATTGTTAAACCTGATTTTCTTTACCCCAACTCTGAACAATCAAGCTTCATCTGACATATTTTGGACATATTGCAAGGAGGAACCAGTCCTTGGAGAGGGATGTCATGCTTGGGAGGGTGGAGGGACAGCACAGAAGAGGAAGACCCTCTACGAGATGGATTGATTCAGTGACTGTGGTAGTCAGGGTAGGTGTGTCAGAGACAATGAGATTGGCACAGGCTACAGCAAGGTTTAGGGCTGTTGTAGACAGAGTCGCTATGAGTCGCAGGTGACTCAACGGCACATAACAACAACTATATGTTTAGAGAGCTCTGCTGTGCTGCCAACCCAATGGTCTGTGGTTCAGATCCATCAATTGCTCCACATTAGAAAAATGGGCAATCTCTTGTATGATTTACTGCCTCTGAAAACCTGCTGGAAGGTAAGCTATGGGCTGGGTCTGATTTCTAGACACTCAATAAACAATAAAAAATAGGTTTAGGGGGAAAAATATGTTTATGGAACTCTGGTGGCTTAGTGGCAAGGAGTTGTGCTGCCAACCCAAAGGTACATGGTTCAAACATATCAGCTTCTCTGTAGGAGAAAGATGTACAATCTCCTCCCGTGTGACTTACTGCCTCTGAAAACCCACCGAAGGGCCGGCTCTGGGTCAGTTCCAACTCAACAGTATCCAAGATCAACAATTATGCTCAGGCTTAAAAAAAATCATTGTTATTAACAACTATAGTATCCTGAGATCGTGATTAGATATATTATAAAGATGTCTTCTTTTGTTCTTTCCCAATACTAGCTTAACTATTTTTGAGCATTGATACTTCCGTCCGAGCATTATACGAAAAAATATTTGTGATTTACATGTCTTACAAGTTCAACCCCCATCTTTATGCTGATGGCTCTAAAATCTTCATGACATGGCCAATGAACATGTCTACCCTGAGGTTCCAGATCTTTCTAATCAACCACTCCCATAATATCTCCAAGTAGAAGTTAAACCCAGTAGCATTCATTCTTGTCTCTCAACTAGACAGTATCATTCTGCTCAACCAAGGATTGCCACTTTTATCCTCATCCTTACAGTCCCACCCCAACCAGTCAAACCCACCCGTTGCTGTCGAGTCAATTCCAATTCTTGGCAACTTTCCATCTGGTGTGTAAACCATGAACACTAATGAGAAGAGATTGCTTTCTTTTTCTCCTCATGATGGACTTAAGTAGCCAATCTTTTAGATGACACTAGGCCATCAATGCTCCATCTTCAACTAGATAAGACCAGCTAAATTTATCTTCTTAGCCTTTCTTGTAACCATCTCTAGCCCTGTGTGTCAGTTATTCAACGATATGTAGCATCTGACTCAGTATTTAAACAAAACAATAAAGCAAGTTCTCAATTTCAAGCTGGCATTAATATACATAAAAGGGCATTTTACGTAAACAATCGATCTAGGGAGCCTAATCTGCATGAAATTGCACGGCTAACCCAAAGTGGCACCTCTCTGGGTTTAGAAGCCACCAGTGCCTCTGACTGAGAAAGATGAGCAGTCTCCTCTCATGTGGTTTACAGCCTCTGAAAACCATCTGGAAGGTCAGCTACGAGTCAGTCGTGACATACAGTGGCAAAGAGAATCCATTCGATCATCAAAACAGTCAGTGCTAAATACTTCCCTTCCCCTCAAGTTAATAAAAAATATTAAGAGACTTACTTAAAAGGAGTAAAAAAAAATGACAATGTAACTTCTTTTTTCTGAGTCATTTTCACCTAGGAACCAAGTAAGAAAATACTTTAATGTTAATATAAGTTTGCAAAAAATTGCTTTGATTTTGAAATATAGACATCCACCGCTATCACTATTCAGGGATGGCTAAGTACTTTGAATGTACGTGGAATTTTGTGTTCCTATGTTACTTTATCAAAGTTTAAAAATATTTATTATTTTACTCTCATATTAATCAAAGATTTAGGCATGTCAAATATGTAAAATAGCATGTAATGTAGTGAAGACTGTTATCTTTTAATACTTAAAAAACAAAGAAGCAAGTCTGAATTAACAATGTGAAGAAGATTCAATGAGTTTCAGGTACAGGTCCATCTCTCTAACTTTCGGGGGGGGGGGGTGTACATGAAATGCTGCCATCCCTGATTCTGCTTCTATGTAGCCAGTTTCAATACCACATAGACATGGTTACAAATCTTCACAGGCATATGTTAGAGCCACTCTTCAAAGATGATTCTACACTCAAAATTGACACATGGAATCTGCACTTCAGAAATGTGTAACCATATACCAAATTTAAAGTAGTTAAAGAAAAGTGTTTTTAAAAACACAAAGTATTTTTACTTCACAGACATAATTTTAAAACTGCAGTGTTATCTGCTTTTTTGTGTAAGGTTTTTTTTAAAAGAAATACCTTGAATTGTTCAAGAATCTGGACCGCATTTGTAAACATGCTCTCTGCTTTGAAGAGATCAGAAGTGTTAAGGTAATCCACAGGCAGGGTCCCCTGTAAATAACAAATAATTCATAATAAAAAGGGGAAAGACATGCATAGGAAAACAGCTTTAAATGTAATTAATGTTTATACCGAAACAAATACTTATACAGAAACAAATACTTATAAAAGTGTACATTCTGTCGTGCAATACACCTTTTCAACTAAGAGTTGATAGAATTCTATTCCTCACCACTGAGTTAAGGGGGAAAGGAACTCCGATCAAAGATGCCATCAACGGTGCGATGTCAGCCTAGAGACAGAAAAAGTCCAGTTCTAAGAGGTGCCAACAAGAAAAGAAAACAACTTAATCCAATTACATTTTGGAATAACCATATCTGTTATATTATCTTTATATGATTATTATCATTATGTACTAGATGTTCATCTCTAAACATGCCATTTGCTAGAGGAACATGAACTTGAAAAAATAATTCTGAAAGAAATCATGAAGTAGTAAACCATCCTGAAGTTATTTTGTTGTTGTTGCTACTGTGTTCTGCCTGCACGGATCTGACCCATAGCTGACTCTCCACCAGGTTTTCAGAGGCAGTAAATCACACGGGAAGAGACAGTTCATGACTCTCCCACAGAGCAGGTGGTGGATTTGAACCATGTGCCTTTGTGTTGGCAGCACAGTTCCTTGTCATTAGGCCACCAGAGCTCCCTAAAGCATACTATAAAAAAGAATTCTTATTCTATCACCTAAGAAACTGACCACCTCATCTAACAGGTTTGGGATTGTTTGGAGGTTTTTTGGTATGTTTTGGGGTTGTTTGGTGTGGCCCATTAATATGCAATATGATGTCCTAATTAAACAGAAAATAGAAAAGCAATAATGTAATTTACTGGTGAAAAACACATATTTTAACCAATGAAATAAGGTATATCTAAGAAGGCTTAGTCAGACAGTGAAGTCCAGAAGAGATGTCATGAAGACATGAGGTCCATTAGCCAAGAGACATCCTCTTTCATATCCCTTTTCTCAGGAACTGTTCAAGCTTTCTGTCTCCACGTCCTCACAACATCACCTCATGACAACTTTGCTTTGACACCTTATCCCATAAATTACTCTGTCTAAAAGCAAACAACCTGCATTTCCTCCCACCCCACCTCCCCACATCTAATTGAAAAGTAGAAACTCAGAGAAGAAGAAGATCTTCAGTGAGACAGTGACTTTCAACAAAGGGCTTTATCACACGGAAATCGCAAGAAAGACACAGGAGCAGGCAGGGTTCAATGTGCTGTATGTCGGGCCACTAGGAGTCAAGGTGAATGTGGCAGCATGGCATTTAACAGGCACAACTGACTAACACCCAGTGATGCTAGGCCAACACAAATATAAAGGGGATTTGTGCTTAAGTGCCATACATTCAACAAGGACAAGGTCATACTTCATATTTTCAGATATTGTTACTAACAAAACTTCACTAGGCTGACGACAAATTTCCTAAAAACCAAGTATTTCCTGTTCAGCAGTCTCTATTGGCATTTTCTGCCATTGTAATTATAGGCTGATGGAAGGAATTAAAGGCACAAAGCAGGTGTTAAATGACAAAAAATGGGTAGTTATTAGCAATCTATTCCCTAAAATTCATTGTTTAAATTTATCATTTAGGAGATAAAATTGAATGAAAAAGTGATTAAATTAGACACAGATACCTGATTGACATCAAGCCTCTGCCAGTTTTCCAATTTCCATTCTGAAAGATACAATAAGTAAAGACACAATCAGACCCCAAACTTGCTAATGATTTTAATAATAATTGATAATTTAGTTGCTATTACTGAGTAACTGGAATTGTAGGTGTTAGAGAAGTTCCTGTAACTTAAGTCAAATCTGAAAAACCAGAAAGGAAATATTAGTGTTTTCAGTAGTGATTTGGTACATTTTTCAAACACTCACTTGGCAGTAAATGCGTAAGAGCATCAAAGGGCAACGGAGGAGACAGAAATAAATGACACGGCAACAACCGTCAGTGCAACACAATGCTGCCCCACGCAGTGAGCGGGCCAGCTGGGTGTCTTTCCCTCAATCCAGGAGGGGCATTTACGGCAGGCGCTGCCAAAGAACTAAAACTCTAGTCATGATGCTCTTACCCTCATTAACCCTCAAGTGCTGAAACGGCACACGGGTAGACTCAAACACCCAGCCTTTACACCAGCCAAGGGCTCCCCATGGTGGATGCACATGTAAAATTCATCCACCTACCCATTTAAGATTAGTGCCTTTTATCCACATTCTAAGGAGTGATTCAGTGCTTTAGCCCTTGGGTGCAAACTGCAAGGTTGGAGGTTTGAACCCACCCAGGGGACACACGGAAGAAACAGCTGGAGATTGGCTTCTATAAGGCGACAGCCTGGAGAACTCTACACTGCAGTGTTGCTCCGTCACGCGGCATCACTGTGAGTCTGAATCAGTTCAGTGGCAGCTAACAACGATGGCAGATGAATTTCTAGTGGTGCAGTGCCCGGCATGTCCAGCTGCTAGCACAAAGGTCAACACAAGGAGCCCACTAGCCACTCGGAGAATGGCTGGCAACCTCCACCTGCAAAGACTTTGTCTCAGCAACACAATGGACAAGTGCTGTGAGTAGTCAGAACTGACGTCACAACAGCGGGGATGTAGGTTTTGCTTATTTTTAACAACAAACCCCTCCCTTATTATCATCTCTATTAAAAAAATAGGGGGAAGGGAGGTTACTCCTATTTTCACTACGTTTTTATGCTGCAGTATTCTGCCTTTCATAACAAGTATCATAATCTCTATATAATCTTTCTTTACAATTTTTTTTTCCATTTTTTGTGTGTGTACCGTCAAATCAGATCTGACTGGTACAGGAGGAAATTGCCCCTCCTTCTCTAGCACAGCATCTGGTGGATTTGAACTGCGTACCTCTGGGATTGCAGTGCAGCTTCTTCCCACTAGGCCACCAGAGCTCCCTTTTTAGAATTTTTAATGCAAAACTTTGTAAAGCAGGGATTATCCCAAAGTCACACAGTACATGAGAACATCTAGGTTCTCTTCGTTTATGCGTAAATAAAAGTGGACATGGAACGAGGTTCTGGCTGTATTACACCGGCCCTCTGTGGAGTGTCAGCTTTCCATCTGCCACGTGCCACGTGCTCTACACCAGGCCTCATAAGGGGCACCTGGACGGACAAAGTATCAGTATTTATTTATGCAAGTGAAAGCAATCAGTAATTTATATTAGAACTTTTATAGGATATTATCGCACTAACAAAACACAAAATTTATGGAAGTAATACATAGAAAATGTACAGAGTTAGAGAAAAGAAAGACTCCCAACAAGATGACTGATACAGTGGCTACAATGGGCTCAAACAGCAGCAACTCTGAGGATGGCGTGGATCAAGGAGCATTTCAGTGCCCGGTCACTACGAGCCTGACCCAACGCCGCACCACCTACCACCACCACTCCACAGCAACCACTCCACAGCAACCACTCCACTCCACAGCACCACTCCACAGCTACCACTCCACAGCTACCACTCCACAGCTACCACTCCACAGCAACCACTCCACAGCAACCACTCCACAGCTACCACTTCACAGCAACCACTCCACAGCAACCACAGGAATATAAAGGAAAGCATGAAAATGATACGTGGAAAGTGACAACTTAAACCATTCAGTCTTATTTTAAAGTGTTATGCAACATATATGTGAGAAAGATAGGCAATTATTACCAGTTTATAGATTCTGAAAAGCAATGAAAGGAGTGTCAGCTTTAATGTGGGTTTCAACTCCATGGCAATGAGTACTTTTCCTACACTATTAAAAAAAAGGCGTGTGTTTATACCTTTCAAAAATGCATCATCATATTGCTGAGCTGACACTTTTTGGGGTGACCTGATTCCAGCTCCCCAAGTGACTAAAGGGGTCAGAGTCTCTGAAGGATGGCCAGCCCCATGGGACCCTACAAAGAAGACACAAGATTAACAAGACAAACATATAAAAACTAATTTGTACATGCATATAAAAACCAACTTGTACACAAACAGTCTGTATTCCTCTTAAGATGCTTTAAGCATTTCATCTATATGGCACCATATACTTTCAAATGCTCATAACTGTAACAACTGAGTATACTTCCATAAAGCAAGTCAGAGAATCAAACAGGCAAAATAGAAATCAAGCAGCAGAATGTCTACAGATTTCCTCTAGGTGACAAAGAATAGGAGAAAGAAAACTCTTTAGATATATTTCACCTAATTTGTGATCAGATACAAATATTAAATTAACTTTCTGAGCTACACACCAGCAGGAGAGGCATCTACTTCCAAAACAACATGCCTCTGGAAACTTTATGAACTTTAATAAATGTCCATAGTTATAGAAAAGCTTCAGGCCTTTTGTTCATAGGGTCGCTATGAGTCGTGCTCAACTCAAAGGCAATCAAAAACAACAACAACACATAAATTTATCAATTGGTTTTTCCTACATGCTAATATATTTCTATTCTTTTAAGCCAAAAAAAAGGGCCTTAAATGTGTTTTCAGAACAGACAGAACACTAAAAACCTCCCACATTTCAGTAGGGATAGTCCACATTCTGTGACTGAAAAACACTGCAGAATAGAGAGGCTCTGGTGACATGAATCCTACACACCATTAGAATTCAGTTCTATAATCTGGAAATCTAAACTTTATCTTTGCCTTATTTTGCTATCTGCACACGGAGTGTTTGCCCTGAGAACCTCAACAAGAAAGATTCTGGGATTCACGGGGGGTAGAGCAGCCCCTCAGGACACTACCTTCACATGACCTCCCTTCAGACATCACCACCAGTCTCCTCTAGGCAGATCAACCAGAGGGACTTTCCCTTTTTTTTCTCTCCATATTTTGAGCTTTCTCAAAAAAGCTACATGAGAATATATTCCTTTCATAACCAGAAGGTGGGGCAATGGAGGGGATGTGAATCCTTTAAAATGACATCAGTCTTTTTTTAAGGTAGCATTTTAAATGTATCATTACATATATATACATATATATATATATATATATAGTCATCATTTTGTTTATATGAAGACATTTGATCTTCTCAGAATAAAATCTTTGCAAACCACATTTACTACTGTTGTTGTTGACTGCCTTCCAGTAGAGCACAGGATGCGATGAACAAAAGGCCTGAAGCTACTACTTTATTTGTAAGTTATGTAGTAACAAACTAACCCCAGTCTGTCATTCCATGATCAGAGGTCAGGATAAATGTGGTCTTGCCATCATTTCCGTAAAACTGTTTAAATATAGACACGATTTCTTCCACACCACTGTCCACTGTTTTAATATTGTCTTTGTATTCTCTGTTCAAAAACAAGCAGAAGAGCAAATTAAATTACATTACAGCAATCAAATTTATTTAACCAAAACTCTTTCTATTCAAAGTCAATATACTTTTTCAAAAGTATATTTAAAAGTCTAAAAGTATTCAAAGTACTAAAATCTTTTTCTAGACTTGATCGTTAATATTTAAAATCATGGCTCTTTAGACTTTTGAATATTTTTTTTTCCTTTTAAAGAAGCAAAAGAACTGACAACAGCTTTCAGATATAGAGTAAAAGCCAGGTGTGGATTAGCAAATGCATTTTAATGATTTCCTTTAGTCTCAAATGTTACAAAATGATGATCTTTCATATCACAAAGTATACTGATCTTGACTTATTAATAGGTAAATACCAACGCTTCAGATATAGAATCATTTTATTCCTTTAAATATGATACAAAAGACAGTAATACTTTTAAGACATGTTGGCTTGCTAACCAGAAACACAGTCTGACCACATCTGTCAGTCAGAGGGAAAAGGTAAGGCCGTCTGCTTTCATCAACAGGTGGGGCCTCAGACACACAATGCGGGGCGGGCATAAGTCAGAACCAGCTCCAGGCTTTTGGTATTTCACAGTTGGACAAAGTTGATTTAGGATGAATTCTATTACCAGAAACGGTGTTTTAAAGCTAAAGAAGGAGTACACAAGGTACTCACTAGTAACACGGCAGCTACGCTGAACATTGTGATTGTGTGCCACTGAGTCAAAAAAACTCAGATATGTTCACAATTACAACAGGCAGAGCTAAACCAAACTAAAAAAAACAAAAAACCCACAAACAAAAAACACCACAATGTTTCCTTTTACTTACAAGACCCAAAAGTGAGAACAATATATATGCTGCTATATATAAGGAGCGCTGCACCCAACAACAACAACTATAATATAAGGGAGCGCTAGTGGCCTGGTGGCTAAGGAGTTGTGCTGAGCCGATGTAAAGGTGGTGGTTTGCATCTATCTGCTCCAAGGGAGAAGGATGGACAGCCTCCTCCCGTGAGATTTACAGCCTCTGAAAACACTACCAGGTCAGCTAGAAGTTGGTTTCAACTTGACAGTACTTAACAACAAATATATAAAAACTTTATGCAAGTATATGATATAGACAAAAATAATTACATGGAACATATAATGAGGAGTTAGCTAAACTTACAGTGATAAAAGGTCAACATACTAAAAATGCTTTTAAGACACTAAAAATCTTTCTAAAAACACAGATTTTTCTTTCTAACTTTACTAAAAGTATATGCAGAATAAATTTTATTTACATTATATTTATGCAATTAATTATCATTTATTACATTAATACAATTTGCCTCTAACATTTGAGATTTTAGCCACCCTATATCCTAAAGCAATGCCTGGTAGAGGTCCCAGATTGATTCAAGGCTGATTCAAGTTTGGAAGCAGGAGTAGCATCCACTTCCAAAATCACATGCTTCTGGAAATTCTATGAACTTGGTCGAATGACAATAGTTATAGAAAGGATTCAGGCCTTTTGTTTATATATATATCTCCTTTGTATTTAAAAGTCAGTTGGGCCAAAAGGTCTAGTGTTATGTTATTTTGGAGGAACATTCTTCTAAGTTGTACAGCACTCCTCTGTCATTTTGCTGCACTGATGTAATCTGGGTTTGCTGTGATGCTGAACCTAGTGCCATTGGTGGTCAAATGCCATAATGGCTGTCCATGGTAGACAGTATTTGCTGGAGCTCCCCAGTTTAAGACAGGTTTGGAAATAGAAGTGCCATCCACTTCCTAAACCATATGCCTCTGGGAAACTCTATGAACGTAGAGTAATGACGAGAATTCTAGAAAGGCTTCAGGCCTTTTGTTCATAGGGTTGCTATGAGTCATGCTTGACTCAACAGCAATAACCAATAACAACAACATCCTAAGATTTCTCATAAATTACAGTAGTAATTTAACATATTAGTTTTGTTTTTACAATTACAAAAAATTAGAAGTATTTTTAAGAATTCTAATATAAAAACTGTTTCCCTTAAAAAATCAAACTAGACGCATTAAAATTACCTGGAGTATGGTCGATGAGCGTGTCCATTTGTATCTATTCCTAATAAATGTAAGAAAAACACTATTTTCTCTTCATTTAATTTCAAAAATAAAGATTGATTGTTTCTGGCACCATGAAAAAATTCCTATATGAAACAGTACAAAAATAAGTTAATTTATTTTGTTAAACATCAATGAAAACATTTTACATAAAATTATATATAACAACATTAAATTACCTTGTTGTTGTTATGTGCCATCGAGTTGTTAACAACTCACAATGACCCTATGTACAATCGCCCTGAAAATCGCTGTATCCTGGGACAACTTTACTGTCTCTGACACACCTACCCTCAATGCATCAATCCAATCTCAGCAAGGGTCTTCCTCTCTTTCTCTGTCCCCTCCACCCTCCCAAGCATGATGTCCCTCTCCAAGGACAGGTTCCCTCCTTACAACATGACCAAAGTATGTCAGACGAAGCCTCAGAATTCTTACCTCCAAGGAGCAGCCTGGTTTCACCCTCTCCAGGACAAACCGTTACAGTTACTGGCTCAATCCAGCTTGTTGAGGATCTTCCTCTCTCACTGACCTTTCTCAGCAACAGGACGGCACTCACCTTAACATTATCAAAGACCCAGGTATCCAGTTTTGCTGCATCATGGGCACCAAAATCCTCATTTTCAGCACCGTAAGTGTGGGTGTAAACATGGTCTCCACTAGCACCTAAACATTTCAAAAGGACAAATTTTTAAAATAAGCACTTTTACCCTCATAAAATATGAGATAGTCATTGAAATAGTTTTGTGGATAACCACAAATTTTCGGAATGCACTTGGTGCTATGAAGGGGAGAAGACAGATGCAGAGATTCACAAACATCCGTTTAGGGCCGACAATGTGCCACAGCCATGCCACGCACTGTAACACGGGCTTTTATATCGCCTCCTACAATAACACTTCTAATTTTACAGCTAAAGTACGTGAAAGTTCACGAACTTGGGAAAATCACGCTGTTCAAAGGTGACAGACAAATATCAAAGTTTGTCTCTTTAAGGATTAAACTATTCAAAGAGGGTGCATTTAAGGATATTATAGCCTTAAACATTAAAACAGATGGAGCTATTTAGTTTATAAAACTTTCTAAACCAAGAAAAAAAAGAAAATATCTCACTTCTCTTCTTCATCAAACAATGCATTGTTCTTAACAGAGAAGAAGAGTGGCATGAACAGCCTTGGTGGCACAGTGTTTAAAGTGCTCAGCTGATCAATGAAAGGTAAATTTCAAATCCATCAGACTCTGTACAGGAAAAAAAGATTTGGTAGTCTGTTTCTTTAAAGATATACAGCGTGCGAAACCCTCTAAGGCGGTTCAACACCGTCTGACTCACAGGATTTTTGTGCCTTAGAACTGGTGTGACAACAACAGGCTTAGGCTTGTTTTTTTAAAGAACAAAATACTGCTTTATTGTCAAACAGACTGAAAAGGTCTATCAATATATTAACCTTGTACATTTGCAAGACATTCTTATTAATCTAACCAAGTTAGCAAATTTCTGAGTTAAAAAGATTTTTGGAGGCTGCAGGAAAGAGAGTGAGATGACAGCAATCAGCTCAGTCATTCCTCATCTCACACCCTCGGAGCAGAGAGAGAGAATCGCCTTCCTCTGGACTGCCCGTCTCTCAAACTGTAAGAGAATAAGATGCTGCTTCTTAGAGTCATGTGCTGTGGTATCTCAGTCACAACAGCACTAGAAACTAAGGCAGCTGCCAACTGCCAACCAAACTGATCTGATCAATCCATGTAAGAAAATGGCTTCATTTCAGAGATGTTAACATATGAAACAAATGCTGAAAATATCACTCAAGACACAGGACTTTGCTAATAAGAATTTAACATAAAAATGTATTGCTATTTCCTACATGAGAAAATTCAACAAACGACTCTTACCTTTGATAAACATATGTAAGATATCAGGGCTTCCCCAGCTCCACGTGTACTTGCTTTCATTAAAAAGAGAATCAAATTCTACAGGATTTTCCTTCCATCCTTCAGATAAACAAGAGGAAAAAATAAACACAGCAATAGTACCATATATATGGTAAATATATACCTAAAGAAATACTCCTCAAATAATAGAAAAACATTACCCATAGTGCAAATACTAATAGTAGATTTTATGTATGTTGTTGTTGTTGTTGTTGTTATATGTCATCAAGTCACCTGCAACTCACAGCGACCCTATGTTCAACAGTCCTTAAACCCTGCTCTATCCTGTGCCAATGATGTCGTCAATTACACCCTACCCCCGTTACCCCAGTCACTGAATCAATACATCACATCGAGGGTCCTCCTGTCTTGTGCTGTCCCTCCACTCTCTCAAGCATGATGTCCCTCTCCAAGGGCTGGCCCCACCTTGCAACATGTCCAGTGTATGTCAGACGAAGCTTCAGAATCCTTGATTCCAAGGAGCAGCCTGGTCTCATGCTCTCTAGGACAAACCTGTTTGTTCTCCTTGCAGTCCATGGTATATTCAACACTCTTCTCCAGCACCACAGCTTAGACGCATCAGTTCCCTTTCTATCATCCCTAGTCATGGTCCAGCTTTCTGACGCATAGCAAGTAATTACAAAGACTATGGCCTGGGTCAGTCGTATTATATCATAATTATAAAACAATGCAAAGCTACAAAAAAATCATTTACTTCTCATTAAAATATAGAATCACCCTTGAACTTCTGAGGGTAACATCTAGAAAAACTATGGACTTTTAATGTAGACAACGTCTAGGAAAACTACGGGCCTTTAGATTAGACTAACCATATTTTTCTAGTAGCAAAGGATGATAAAAAAACCTACTGTTTCATCCCAAAATTAATATCAATGTGTGTTCCTATGAACAAAGCATGCTAAATTTTTTGCATTTCATACCAGCTCTCATTTAACTTGTAATATATGTTCCAATTTAAAATTTTTCTTCAATCATCTTGTCTAAATAGACAATACCTTTGGCAACAGCACTGACGTCTTCATAAAATCCCGCGATCAGGGCCACGTGCCCGGGCCTAGACTCTGTTGGCACACGGGTGTGAGAGATCCCCCAGCTGCCTTCATGCATTATGATATTCCTAAAAGACATTAAAATAGAGGGTTATCAGAGAGATGATAAAATGTTCTCAGAGGGCTTCTGAGTAGCAAAATTATCACAGGAATAAAAATCAAAACCAGAACGAATTTACCCTTAAAAGGAAGGACTATTTCAAATTCCATTTGAGACCAGTCCCAGTTAAGAGAGAAACAGTAAGGTGTTTTGTGGCTTTGACTGAACTCAGGACAACATTCTCAAGAGACAGCTCTGCACCAGCTGACGTGCTCACCTGATAAAGGGGGCATGAGAACGTCCATCTTCATCGAGTTTATAAAGTGCATCTGCTCGCAGGCCATCAGCAACAAACAACACCAGTCTTTTAGCTGGAGGAGGCAGCGGGGTAAGCTGAGGGGTCATCCCATGGACCAAAGGAGACGTGAAGTAAATGTCAAAGATGGAGGCGAAGAACACAAGATGGACCAGCAGCCCCACAATCAAGAACAGCAGCATGCTAAGCGTGGCTAATTACTTTTTGGGAAGAAATCTAAAAGGGAAAATAAACCTTAAGTTTAGGAAACATTAATGCAGTTACAATTATTTTTACTTTTTCTTCACAATACCTTTTATTATAAAATATAACTTCACATTGACTGTAATAAGCAACAGCATTATTTTAATAAATAAGACTTAAATGAAAAACTATCCAAGTGCTTGGGGAGGAAAAAGGTTCAAGAATATGCAAGCAATTGTTCTTATTTGGTGCTGTCTACTCCTAGTGTTAGGGCACTCTGGTGACCCTGCAGTGGTAAGAAGCAGTGCTGCAATCCTGAAGGCATGTGCTTCAAATCTGCCGGACACTCCACAGAGGGATGGACGGTCTCCTCCCGTGTGATTACCTGTCTCTGAAAATCTTCTGGAGAGTTCTGACTTGAAGGTACAGAAGAACAACTTGACTACACCTCATAGTAGCTCTAGGAACAAAAGATCGAAACCGTGACCTCTTCCTGCACCATCGTCACAAGCTCTGCCATGTGCAAAGCCCTTGTTGCAGTGACTATGTCAATCCGTCATGATGAGGGTCTTCCTCTCTTCGCCTGACCCTCCAGCTTTCCAAGCATGATGTCTCTGTCCAAGGAATGCCCCCGCCCCCGACAGCATCAAAGAAGCATGTGAAATCAAAGTGCCACCTCCTCGGCCTCTAAAGAGCACCCTGGTTGTCCTTCCTCTGAGGTTGATTTGCTTGAGCTTTAGCAGTCTATAGTATGACAGTACACTCAATACTCTTGGCCAACATCACAATTCAAAGGCAAGTGGTCTTCCTTAGCCATTGTTCAATTCTCATATCCATATGAAGCAAATGAAAACATCAAGGCTTGGGTCAGGTGCACCTTCATATTCAACCTTTCAATATCCTTTGCTCTTCAGAACTTTAAAAAGGTCCCTTACAACTTTGTCCAATGCAACGAGTCTTTTGACTTTTTTTTTAAATTGCTATTACCATAGATGTCAATTGTGGATCCAAGAAAAAGAAAATCTTTGACAACTTCAACCTTTTTTCCATTTATCATGGCACTGCCTATGGGTCCAGCTATGAGGACTTCTGTTGTCTTGATGCTGAGATGTAAACTGATTTTAAGCAATTTAGAACAACAAACTATTCATGATAAATACATAGGAAGATCTTAAAATTAGCATGTGACCAAGAATCAAGACAGAATTCAATCATAAAATAAGTAAACACAGTGCGTCGATGACACAAAATCTTAAACTACTGACCACGACCTGGAAGGCTGGCAGTTCAAACCCACCCAGAAGCACCTGGGACACAGGGTCTACTCAGGTCTGCCTCACTCACATCTTGATTCTGAAATATCACATCCTTCAAAAGCTGTGGCGCCAGTTATACATGAAATCAACTCGACGGCAGTTGGATTACTGGGAGTTTTCCATGCATATGGCTCTTACAAAACCCAGAAAATCTCACCCCAAACAGAAGATGTAATTCACGTTATTTCTAGTTACACCTATGCAACCATTGCTATGCAAAAGAATAGTAATTGTTGAACCATCAGCGCATAGACTTTTGACTGGAAATTTGCAAATTACATTAGGTTTCATTCACTCATTCATATACACCTTATTTTAGAACATTCATTATAACTGATTAACAACTCACTTAATAGGGATTTGCTCTCATAAAGATGGTCAATCTCTTTCCATGTGATTTGCTGTCTCTAAAAACCTGCTGGCAGGTCCGCTACGAATCCCTTTCAGGTTCATAACAAGTGCGGTTAACTACAATGTCTCAGCAAGCCCTTACTGTACATTGCCTTTCCTTTCATCCAATTTGTCTATTCATTTTTATTTTTCTCTTTTCTTTTCTCATCCCTGTCGATGTGTAGTTTTCGTGGTCTCAAGGGGTAGGTATTACCAGTCTTCAGTAGAATGTCACCAACTTGAACAAGTGACAGGCGTTTTACCCATTATTTTAGTTGCAGCCTATTACAAAAAGAGCCATTACAATTCCTCGGCTCTTCTAATAGTTTACTCATAAGGAAATCACGATATTTGGTGCCCTGAGCCAACAAAGAACAAGTTATTCATCTATTCATAACACTGTGCACTGCACACCCAGGATGCAGGACCTGCTTGCTAATGGGGTCCTACACAGAACACCAAGAAACGGTAGTCAGAAGCTGATTAGGTTACAGGTACTAAGGGGAGAAAAATGCATGTGAAATACTAATATGTAATGAACTGTTAAGGGTCTCTGGGTTTCGGGAACAGCGTCCAAATACTGTTTTCTATTACAGAGCACCCAAACCACCCAGGATTGTAATCAAAGAATTGCATAAAATAATATTAACAATGAGCTTCTAAACTTGGTAAGGCTTAGTAAGGGCAATCAGAGCTTTGTCCACAGCCTCCAATATTAAGCCCAACAATCAAAACGTTGGATTTTGGAGTGCTGTGAGTAGTGACCAGTGCGGATGACCAGAGAAGATCAGGGCGCCTCTCTAGGCTCCAGTCCACTGACCTCTCTAGGGAGAGGGTAGGACTGGCTATTCTCAAGGGCCTTGTGTGTGACACGTGTATCTCGTCCCCTGGGTCCCCGGATCGCTAACAGCGCGGGCCCGATTGAGGCTGAAGGGAGTCACAAGATCCCCAAAACCTCGGGCCCTGCTGTCCGCAGAGCTCCGTGCTGGCTGCGGGAGACCCTCGGGGAGGCGCTGTCTGTTCCCGCGGCGCGAGCGGCCCACGATCGCCGGCCTCTCAGGCCAGCAGGCGCATGGCAGGAGAGAGCTGTCCTGGACCTTTGCTGCCTGGACCTAGAAACGTCATCAGTGGACAGCAAAGAATAGCAGGAAAGGTGCAGGGTCCAGGGCTGGGGCCGCTGCCCCTCCGGGCGCCACTCCTGCACTCTACCCGAGGCCATGTGGTTCAGGTCGGACTCAGAAAGATCAGCCTCCTGAGAGCTGAGCCCGAACACACACCAGAAAGGGAACCCAAAACTGCCAACACAGACAGCCCTCCACCATGGAACGCCCCCAACTCCTACCGGTTCCGCAGCTGCTCTCGCGATACCTCAGAGCCACGCCTCCGTTCTCATTCACCAATCACTCACGGCTTGGGGGCGGGCTTACTTTTGAATCAAGAGCACGGCCTTCAATCGCCGCGCTCTGGCGACGAGTGGGCGGGGCCAAGAGGGGCCGGGACACGCACGAGGTCTCGCGGGACTGGAGACCACGAAGATGCCTTTGGGCCGGAACTTCCGGTTCCTCCAGGGAGTGACTGCTGGTCTCCTGGAAGAGAGCAAGGCCAGGCTACGTCTGGCTAGGGAGGCACCCGCTGGGCGCTGAGGTTTAGGGCCGTACGGAGGATGATGACGAAGCAGCGGCGGCCAGGCCCGCGGCTGGAGTCCGGGGATGGCCTGGGCCCAGCCTCTGGGGGTCCTGCCCGCCTGTCGATGGATGCTGAGCCATCAGAACATGGGCCCGCACTGGACTTTCACGTCGAGCTGCTAGAGCGCTATTTCTCCAGCCCAGACAACTCCAGGAGGCAGAGCGAGACCCCGGGCAGTCGGCGTTAGTGACCTGACACTCGAGACAGACCACGCGTGTCAAACGAGACTCGGGATTTTCAAGGAACAAATCGCTAGACGTGGCATCTACAGCTAGTTGCATTTTGCAACCAGTTCTAACCATCATCCGCTCAACTGTTTGTTGTTTTTGATAAGTCAGAACAAAGAATTAAGATGACATGAGAATTAGTGCCTTTGAGTTATGGTGTTGGAGGGCTGAATATCCATCCCATAAACTGTCAAAAGAACAGCAGGTATGTCTTAGAGAAAAGTGCAGCCCGAGTGCTCCTTGGAGGCAGGTGAAACTTGGTCTCACATATTTTAGACATGTTGCTAGAATGGGATGTTGTGCCTGGAAAGGTGGAGGTCAGTGCAGGAGAGGAAACCCTTCAATTAGATGGAATGCTGCAGAAATAGGCTCAAATATATCAAGGATGGGGTGGATGGCACAGGATAGGGCAGCGTTCAGACTGATCGTTCATAGGGTCCAGTCATACAAGACTCAATGACAATTAACTACCATGCACAGACCCCTCTATGCAACAGGAGACACTGCCCAGTCCTCGAATCTGTGTGCTTCAGCCTATTATTTCAACCTCTGTGGTCAGAAATTCCTTTTTCACATGGTGTTTTCCTCCACGGACTAGCCCCTCCTGAAAACATGCCCGAGTATGTAAGACAAAGTCTTATCATCGATGCTTGCCTCGAAGGAGTACTCTCTCACTGCACTTCTATCCAAGGCAAATGTGGATGGTTTTTTGGTAGCATATTGGGATAGTCAATATTCTTCACCGTTAGAACTCACAGGAGTCAGTTCTGCCTTACTCACTGTCCAGCTTTAACATGCATATGAAGCAATTTAAAATACCGTAGCTTGGGTCAGGTACACCTTAGAGTGACATGCTTATATATTTTAGCACAGAAGAGAGGTCCTTGGCAGCAAATTAGACCAATGTACAAATTCATTGTTTGATTTTTTTACTGCTGCCCCAAACATGGTGATGAATGTGGTCCCAAGCAAAATGATACCACTGACAATTCGAGTCATTTCTCCATACATCATGATTTTACTTACTGCTCCAGTGGTGCAGACTTTTGTTTATATACAGGTTCTACATGAGCTCCACTAAGTTTTTGGGGATTTCCACTCCTCCTAGTGTTAGCCATAATATATTACGATCCATATAGTTTAGTATCTTTGCACAGTCAGTAAAACATAAGCAGACACCTTTCTGGTATTTTCTGCTTTCAGCCCAGATCCAACTGACACCAGCAATGATACTGTTCATTCCATGGCCTCTTCTAAATCCAGTTTGAATTTTTAGCAGTTTCCTATAAATTTACTATTCTACTTGATTTTGAATAATCCTCAACAATATTTTATTTGCATATGATATTAATGATACCGTTAGATAATTCCTTTTAGTCCTAGTAACCTGTAAGTTACAAATACCATTTTCTTTACCCCAGTAGATAATGTGAGGCTGAACACCGTGACACTGGTGTGGCAAATGCGTTAATGATTGACTACCTAATTCGGACAGAGAGTGGGGTGGAGCTCCCTGATGAAAACAAGCTTGGAAGCAGGAGTGGCATCCACTTCCATAATAGCTTGCCTCTGGAAACCCTATGAACCTGGAGAGAGGATGAAAGGCACCCAAGCGTTGAGGACTCTCCTTCATAGGGTCGCTATGAGTCACCTGCTACTCAACGGCACTTAACAACAACAATAGAGAATGCTCTACACCTCTACCCATCTTGAGAATTTATTGAGTTCCTGATGGAGCTGTGTGGCTTACCAACAAATTTGTTTTAATTAATTAGAGTTTAAAAGAATGAGAAGTTACACATGCTGGATGGCAGCTTCAGCATCATCACATGAGACGGATTTTGGGCTTTTCCCACAGTTTGAGCTGCTTCGTTGTGAGCAGCTGTACCAGGCCACCAAACAGTCCCAGCAAGAGAGTCATGAATGTGGCAATAGCATAGTTGGTAATGCTGGGGAAAGGAGAAAAGAAATGTTAAAGACTGCGCACACTTACAACGAAAGCATAAGATAACCCTGTGGTCACTAACAAAGGGTTATAGCGCAATAACACTGAAGTTTAAAAACACACTTTGTTAACAATCATGAGGATATGGTATAAAGAAATAATCCTTAGCCCTTGTTGTGCCATAAGCTCCTTGGCAATGTGGTGAAATCTTTAACACCACTCTAAATGATATCTGGAAATGCATAATAGAAAATATACAAGAATATAAGCAGACATGTGATGTAACGAAATCTTGTATTTGTGACAGGGGCTACGTACTTCCATGATACTGATAATGCATCTTGTGAAGCCCAATCACTATGGCTACTCATGGGCTGGGTGTGATGCCAGGAACACCTTCCACAATGACAGTATGTGGTAACATTGACAAGACTAATGCTGTTGATATCTCCACTTTCAACACACACCTTTCCCACCCTCATGCCACTGGAGAACTTGTCTATAAAAGACAAGACTCTTCATTTCTAGACAAGAAACTACTTGCACAAATTGGTAAATGAAGCTAGTGTAGATTAAAGAATTTGTTGTTGCTGTGTACCGTCAAGTCGGAACCAACACACAGCTGACCCTCTGGCAGGTTTTCAGAGGCAGTTAATCACATGGGAGGAGAGAGCCCATCCTTCTCCCCTGGAGCAGGTGGTGGCCTCAAACTAATAGGCCTTTGAAATTGCAGTGTAGCTTCTTGCCACTAGGCCACCAGAGCTCCCTAAAATAAAGAATATGGATCCTTATTTATAAGTGAATAAAACTGACACTAGCTTTGACTTCAAGGTTCAAGTTAATGTTATCTTTCTAGAAATGTCTATGAGAAACCTATGAGTTTCTGAAGCCCATGGTACTTCTCACACTTCATATCCCCTGTGACTTTACACCTTAACAGCTTTGTCCTTGTCCACTTAATCTCCTAACACTAAATTACCCATTTATACCCAGCTTTCAAGGGCCAGCTTAAATACCACACCCTGTATAGTGGTTCCCCAGTCAGTGAGGCCCAAGGTTACACTGCCTCTTCAGACGTCCCTGCTTGGCTGCGGACTGTGCTACAGTTACAATATAACATTAGACCATAATCTCAGAATGCAAGAGCAATGTCTTGATTCTGGAGTGGGGATGTCTCTTCGTGCCTTCCACTAAGCACTTAAACCCCTTAAACAATATCCTGACGGAGTGTTCATCTATCTGCAGAAAGAGAGTATCACTAAGTAAAGGGAAGAAGCATGGAGATTGGTGAATGTAACTGAACGCAGCAGTCTGTTACTGGATCCTACCGCGAGCTGCAGTTTCCTAGCCATTGGTTACTGTTTTAACACACTTTCAGATTATGTAAAGTGAAATATATGTTATCAATAGAGTCAAGGGTGTTCCCTAGGAATATTGTGTTTTAATATTTTGGGGCCTTTATGGATACAATAATTAATTAATTACTCACAGCCCAATTAATCTGTTTTGGCTTAACTATAACCAAGAGGTGACGTGTAAAAAAAACCCAAATCATTTATTCCATTAATGTTTTAAATACTTGGTATGTTTTTCTAAATTGTTTACATGAAAATGATATGAATAGGGTATGTAAAACAATACAGTAGTAATGAAGATTATTTTGAAAAATATTTGTTTTCATGCCTAATGTTTCTTAATATAGGAATATTTTCATTTTGCTGCAATTGTTTTATACATATTTATTTGTATGACATTTATAGCAGTGAATAATAATTTAATAAATATTCTATATTGTTGTTTGTAAAAAAAAAAGACTCTCAACTCGTCATTGTAGAGTCAGAACAGACTCCTATCTTACCCTTCAGCAGGTTTTCAGAGGCTGTAAATCAGATGGGGGCAGACACCTTTCTCCCACAGATTAGTTAGTGGATTTGAACCTTCTGCCTTTGGGTTGGCAGCAACAACTCCCTCCCTCCAAACCACTTTCTTGTTATACTGAAATGTCAAGTTAATTTCCCCTTGTTTAGCTAAGAACTTCTTTGTGAATATATATTATACCTTGTTCCAATGTCAAGCCAGCTGCCAAAATCTTTTATCAAGAACAAAAAGTGCTGTAAAATAAAACCAAAAATGATTAGTTAATTAATTAAAGGCACCTAGATTCAACCTGAAAACAAGGTTGTTCTAGGAATGTGTGTTACAGATTTTTGATCTTTCAGTATCAACAAAATGTTTTAAGAAAATAAAGTCTAAAAGTAATAACTCTGATATGAGCACAAAAATGATACTGTGACTAACCAGAAACAAACAAAAAAGTCCATTTTAATAAAAGGCATAAGTGGTATTAAAGAGCGTTCACTTCGGCGGCGCACGTAGTAACACTGGGACGATTAGAGAAGAGGAGCCTGGCCCCTGTGCGAGGTGCCACAGAAATTCCTGAGGTGTCCTTATTTTTGGTAGGAATGAGTGAAGTAAATAATAGACTATGTGAGTTTTGTACACCAACCAATATAAAATAAAGTGAAGAGAAGGAACCAGGACAGCAGAAGGCAGGCTGCCTGACGTGAACCACGGAACCCTAGTGCAACCTGGCATTATACCAAGTCCCTGCATTTATATTTCTTTGAAATCATGTGAAATCATTCCAGCCAAAATAAATAATTGATGATTAAATATGCTGTTGTTATTGTTGTTAAGTGCCATCAAGTCGCAGGCTACTCATAGCGACCCTACGACTAAAGTCTTCGACACTTGTGTGCATAACTTTCATCCTTTCCCCAGGTTCATAGAGTTTCTGGAGGCAAGCTGTTTATGGAAGTGGATGCCACTCCTGCTTCCAAGATTGTTTTAATCGGGGAGCTCCACCAAACACTGTCCACCATGGGTAACCATTCTCGCATTTGACACATCAGTGTCACAGTGTTCAGCTTCACAGCAACCACGAGTTACCTCTGTATAGCAAGTGGACACACCAGGGCTATACAACCTACAAGAATGTCTGAACAAAAACAATGAAAGGATAGGGCTTAGGGCCGCAGATTAGAGTCACCCACCTTTGGCTTTAGTTTGCTTGGCTCTACAATCACTCCTGGCACCAGCAGCCAGGAAATTAAAAGAAGTATTGCAATGGGGAAGTTTGCTGTTAGAGATCTCTCCAAAGTACTTAAGAGCAATGATGTCACTCTGGAAACTAAGGTGTGCCTGATGCAGGCCATGGTCTTTGCAATTACTTGCTATGCATCAGAGAGCTGGACAATGACTTGGGATGATAGAAGGAGAATTGATGCCTTTGAGCTGTGATGCTAGAGAAGACTGTTGAATATACCATGGACTGCTAAGAGAATGAACAGGTTTGTCCTGGAGAGGGTGAAATGAGGCTGCTTCTTGGAGGTAAGGATTCTGAAGCTCTGTCTGACATACTTTGGACATGTTGCAAGGAGGGACCAGTCCTTGGATGGAGATGTCATGCTAGGGAGAATGGAGGGACAGCAAAGGAGAGGAAGACCCTCGATGAGCTGGGTTGATTCAGTGACTGGGGAAACTGGAGTAGGTGTGTCAGAGACAGTGAGATCGGCATGGGATAGAGCAGGATTTAGGGCCATTGTACATAGGGTCACTATGAGTCACAGGCAAATCGACGGCACATAACAACAACCACCACCACAACAATACAAAACAGAAAAACCATAAAAGATCAATGCAACAAGCAAACAAAGCATTCTTGTGTGTGTGTGCACCAAGATACTTCCAAAATACATTAAGCAAAAATGGAGAGAGAAAAATAGACCAATCTACAGTTAGAGTAGGAGATTAAAATACCTCTCTCTCAATAGTGTTAAGGACCTTTGCTGCCACCCCAAAGGTTGGTTCAAATCCACCAGCTGTCTTTTGGAAAAAAAGATGGACACTCTCCTCCTATGCAATTTACTGCGTCTAAAACCCACTGGAGGGTCAGCTGTGAAGCAGTTCTAACTTGACGGTGCCCAACAACTAAACACACTCAGCAAGGATACAGAAGGACAGTCACTGCCTCCCTGTAGGGCAGGACCGAGCAGAGCAGCCCTGTCCCTGAGGTGTCTGAGGCTGTGATCTTACTGCCAACCCTCAGCAGCCAAGTTCTTAACTAGCACACTAGGTCTCACATGCAGCCTAGAATGGGAGTTATAAAATAGCAAGTTGGCGCAGGAGAGGAAGGCCCTCTATGAGGTGGACTGATTCAGTGACTGGGATAATTGGGATGGGAGTGTCAGAGACAGTGCGATTGGCACAGGACAGAGCGGAGTTTAGGGCTGTTGTACATAGGGTCGCTATGAGTCGCAGGCGGCTCGACGGCACATAACAACAACAACAACAACAGTTTGGCACTTTTAGATTCGCACTTCTTGCGTGATGAGTGACATACAATGGTCTGAAAACACACACTCATTGCCGTCGATTTAGTTCTACCTCCTAACAACGCTCCACTGAGCTTTCGAAGACTGGAAATCTTAACAGGAAGATTGTCCTTCTTTCTCCCACGGTGCAGCTGGTAGATTCAAACACAGGAGACACCAGGCAGCTGGGCCGCAGTGCAGCATGCTACCAGGCTGGCCATCAAGATTCGTACACACGAATTATGTCAAGCTCTACAACTCAGCAGTGAAAGATTTCATGTATAAAAATTACTTATAGTAATAGTCTTACCAGAGCCATGATGTCTGATATCACAAGAACAATAAGAAAAACACTAAAAAAAGGATAAAATTTTAAAAGAAGAGATAAAACATACACATTTGCAAGTACATGAAGATCTAATAAGAACACTCAAATTCAATATTTTTATATTTTTGCTTCAGAAATGCTACTTTTTAATTTCAAAAATGCTACTTTTAACTGAGTTACTCTCAAAGTATTATGGGTAACAGTCTCACATTCATGAGATGAATTTCAACAACATTATTTAAAAATTAATACTTATTTCAGTGACAGAAAGGAATAGGAATTATGATATGATATTAAAAAATAAGTATCCTTTAAATTATAGGTTTATTATAGAAATAATAGGTCATTATTTCATGTACACAAATCTTTATAGAGATCCAAGTCAGCATGGCCATTTCTTCCTGAAGAATCCATCATTCAGTTCTAAACAGACACACAGTGATGGACATTAATCTGTGGAGGTGGGTGAGACCACGGTGTCATCCAATATAACTATTCACAACATGACTTGCATAATGTTCATCACAGCATCATTTACCATCTCAAAAACAAGGGTCCCTCCTCGGAAAATATCCGAACTATGTTAGCTGGAGCTTCAAAATCCTTGCTTCCTCTCCAAGACAGACCAGTTTGTTCTCTTGGTGGTCCATGGTATGTTCAACACTCTTCTCCAGCACCACAACCCAAAGGCATCAATTCTTCCGTCATCCTTACTCACTGTCCAGCTCTCTGATGCATAGCAAGTTATCACAAAGACCACAGCCTGGATCAGGTGCACCTTTTTCTTTCATCACTTGTGTTTTCGGTGTCATGTCTGAAAAGGCTCTACCTTACCCTAATTTGCACACTTTCTTCTATGCTTTCATTTTATCTGGAATAACTAACATTAATATCTTATTGTTTCCTTCACGATCTTGAATAACATTTTTAGTGATGTATTATTAGTGAGAAAGCAGATTAGCAGTCTACTAAAGATGCTAATAAACAAATTTCCTCTAATGATAGTCTTTTGTGTTTCATTGATTATGCAAAAGCATTTGACTGCGTGGATCATAACAAACTGTGGCTGACTCTGAGAAGAATGGGAATCCCAGAACATTTAATTGTGCTAATGCGAAACCTATACTT